CTTTGTTGAGAGGCTATGTAAGCCCCAGTTCCTGGACTCTTTTCAGTTACTTATCACTGTTTCTCCCCTGTGCGTGTGTGCTACATGTGTTAATCAACTGTTGCCTGTTAATTTGTCTTTGTCATTTTGATTTCTAGGGCCCTGCCTCCAGAACCTAGGAGGGTAGAGGAAACTACCTCTCCTACAGTACAGCCACTTTTGAAAAGAGTTGGCAATTTCTTCAGGGACCAAACAAACACCTGCCATACAACCCAGGCATTCCACCCCTGGGTATTTACCCACGAGAAATAAAAGCGTGTTTCATCACAAAGACTTGTATACCTATGTTCACAGTGGCTTTATTGCTAATAGTCCCAAACTGGAAACAACCCATATATGTCCATCAGCAGGTGAATGGAGAAACAACTGTGGTATAAACATACACTGGATTCCCAGCAGTGAAAAGGAAGAACCATTGTTCCATGCAACAAGACACAGGAATCTCAAAATAATAATACTGAGCAATGGAAGCCAGATTAAAAGAAAAAACTTCTTACTGCCTCATTACATTTATGTAAAATTATATATAAAACGAATACAGGATTTTACAAAATTCGGGGAAATGCAAGCTAATCTCATCAGATCAGTGGTTACCTAGTTGGAGGGGACATTACAAAGATTACAGAGGACCATGAGGTCGGGCTCAGTGCTCAGCATGGAGTCGGCTTGAGATTCTCTCTCCTTCAGCTCCCCCACCCCCGCTCATGTGCGTGTGCACACAAACACACACACACTCAATCTCTCTCTCTCTCAATAAATAACATCTTTAAAAACAAAACAAAACAACAAAAAACAAAGGACTGTGAGGAAACTTCTGGGAGTAGTGAATACAGTCATGATCTTGATTGTGGGGATGGCTTCACAGGTATACTTACGTCAAAACTCATCAAATTAAGGGGCACCTGGGTGGCTCAGTCGGCTGGGCGTCTGCCTTCGGCTCGGGTCATGATCCTGGGGTCCTGGGATCGAGTCCCGCATCAGGCTCCCTGCTCGGTGAGGAGCCTGCTTCTCCCTCTGTCTGCTGCTCCCCCTGCTTGTGCTCTCTCTCACACACACACACACACACTCTTTCTCTCAAATAAATAAAATCTTAAAAAAAAAAAACTCGGGCGCCTGGGTGGCTCAGTTGGTTAAGCGACTGCCTTCGGCTCGGGTCATGATCCTGGAGTTCCGGGATCGAGTCCCGCATCGGGCTTCCTGCTCAGCGGGGAGTCTGCTTCTCCCTCTGACCCTCTTCCCTCTTGTGCTATCTCTCATTCTCTCTCTCTCAAATAAATAAACAAAATCTTAAAAAAAAAAAACTCATCAAATTATATACTTTAAGTATGTAGGGTTTGTGTCAATTATATCTCAATAACAACAAAAAAATAAAATTGTAAAACAGACTGAGCCCAGCTTTCCTAAAGTTTCTCCTGCTCACCTTATAAGCCCCTCCCTGAGCTTCCTGTGCCCCAGCCGCCCTCCATTCCAACCGTGAGCTCCATGAAGGCAGTGGCAGTGAGGACTGCACGGGATCCACTCTCTAGGCCCAGAGCCCAGCATATGGCGGGCAAGCACAACAGATTTAACCAATGAGGCTTAGCCGGGTTGAACTCCCCACCTGCAGTCACATAGCTCCCTGGGACTTGAGGCCAGGTGTATCGGTCTCTTGTAGGGGAGAAAAACGTTTCCTTTCTTTCCTTCTAGGTTCTTAGGCTGATTTAATAATTACATGGACATAAAACAGATTAACTGGAGAAAAACAAATTTAATTTTGTACACATGAGAGCCTATAAAAATATGGGACTCAAAGAAATGACCAAATCGGGCGCCTGGGCGGCACAGTCAGTTGAGTGTCCGGCTCTTGGTTTCGGGTCAGGTCATGGTCTCGGGGTCATGGGCTCGAGCCCCACATTGGGCTCTGTGCACACGTAGCATGGAGTTGGCTTGGGACTCTCTCTCCCTCTGCCTCTCCCCCCGCCCCCCACTCTCATGCTCATGCTCTCTCTCTAAAATAAATAAATATATCTTTAAAAAGAGGGGGGGAACAGAAATGACCAAATCAGGCAGCTTTTATAGCTTTCAGACAAAGAAACAATAAATTTGTGAACAATTGACAAGCCAAGGAAGTCCGGGTTTGGAGTAGTTACTTGGGGAAAGAACAAGCTTTATTTATGCAGTCTTCTCTGCCTCGGATGCCCTATCTCTGGCGATAAGGATGCCTTCTACCTTCCTGGTACAGCGAGGGCACCTTCCACGTGGGAGACTTATTTCCTGTTTTCAGGGGGGACAAAGGAGATTCAGAGTGTCCTTGGCACTGGCTGTTTCTTAAATAACTTTAACTCAAAATAATCAATATGCCAAAGTGGCATGTTTTGGGGTGGCATATTTTGCTCTCCTTCACCTTCAAGCACACTCAAGTTCTATAGCAAGCCGCTGTCTGGAGACCCTGGGCCCGCGGCAGTGAAGGTGGGTAGAAAGAGCAACATCTTTCTCAGGCACTGTCCAGCTTCCGTTTGCCCAGATCCAGTGACTGAAGACTGGGGACCAGACTAGGCAGCCATCTGGACTCTGGAGAGTTCAGGCTGTGAGGACAGCCTGGCCAATATGGAGCCTGACTCCAGCTCCAAGACCTGGTTCAATCTGGTTCAAGAGGATCAAGGCACTTCTAGGTGATATAGACGGGTTAAAGCAATGAATTCTAGAAGAGATTGCAAGTCCAGGATCCATGACTTACCACACGTGTGCACGTCAACTCTCTAAACTTTATTTCCTCATATGACAAATCGATAAGTAATAACAGCATCAGCTCCAGGGGATGTGGTCAGGATTAAACTGGTTTAACATATGTAAGAGGCTCAGAATGGGGCCCAGGGAAGAGGAAGCCTTCACTAAGCATTCCTCCTTCTGTTTGGTTAGAGAGTGGCATCCAGTTCCCCTTTCAGGATTCCGCCAGAGCCTTTTTCCTACCTAGAAACTTCTGGATGGGTCACTAAAATCTCACAAACCTTGCTCTCATTTGGGAGTTCAGAACCTCAGGGCCCTTGGGGGCACCTGGGTGGCTCAGTCGGTTAAGCATCCAACTCTTGATTTCAGCTCAGGTCATGAGCTCAGGGTCCCGCGTGGGGCTCCATGCTCAGCTCCAATCTCAGCTCCGCCTGAGATTCTCCCTCTCCCTCTTCCTCCACCCCTACCTGCTGCTAGCTCTCTCAACAAACAAACAAACAAACAAACAAAACCCCACCAGAACCTCAGGGTCCTCATCTTAATTTTTTTCTCAATAAGTAAACTTCCTTGAAATAATTTCAAATGTCCAGAAAAGTTGCAGGGATAGTACATGGAATTCCTCACCTGGATTTACCAGGTGCTAACATTTTGTCACATTGGTTTTATCATTCACTCTCTCTCTCTCTCTCTCTCTCTCTCGATTACAGATACACACACTCTCTCTCTTTTATATACATATATAAATATATTTCTGGTTTATTAGAGAGTGAGTTGCAGACATCATACCCCTTTGCCCCCAAATTCTTTAGCATGGATTATGCCAGAGTACAGTCTCTTGTAACCACAATTATAAACATCAGGGACCCTAACTTCAGCACAAATACATTATAAAAAGCTTACATTCAAAGTCATCAATTGCCCCCCAACTGTTCATCCCACTGTCTGGGTTCCAGTCCAGACCCCGCATTGCGTTGAGCCGCCCCGCTGCTCTGCTGTCCACAGCCCCCGCGCCCCTGTAGAGAGCAAGATGGAGTCACTCATGTCCAGCAGGTGCCTGTGTCTAGCAGTGACGCAAGCTGTGAAGGGTACGGCAGCTAAGAGATATCCTGAGACCAGATCAGCTGACACCCCAGAACTGGTAACAGGCAGAAGTACAGTGGGTCTGCAGGGGTCCGGGACTGCTGAAATCCCTCTAAAAAGGGAGGAGTTTGGCAGCACACGGTCAGACCCCTCAGACATGACCCCTCTCTGCCTGACCACTTAAAAAAAGCAGCTGCCCCCAAAGGTTCTGCCGGATTGAGCTCCGCTGCTTGAACATCACCCGCAGCAGGTGCCCAGGACTGACCCAGGCGCCACCCAGGTCTTATCTCCCCTGTGTGCCCACAGACTGACCTCAGGTTTGGTTCATTAACTTCCTACCCACTCTGTTATCTTGGTGACTGTGTGTCTTGTCTTGTGTTCTGCTTTGTGTGCCAGTAAGAACCCAAGTCAATCACGTCTCCAAATGCCACTGAGTTTGGAATCCTGAACCTGCTTTATAATGACGTTAATCTTGCTCAATGACTGAATAAAGCTGACTTCGTAGAAGGACACAACTCCTGTCTTTCCTAGCGTGCTGGTGACAACGAGCTTGTGGCTGGGAAGACAGGAAGGGGCTGCTTTTTGCCCTGGACCCCCTGTTTGAGTAGACCCCCGCCTCCAGGTGGGATCACACGCCCAGCTCGCTGGGCTGCCGGGTTTGCAGAGCCGGCCCTCCGAGGCGCTGAGCAGGTCGGGGTCCCTAACGTGAGGCTGGGGAGGCCGGCGAGGACCCGCGGAGCAGGTGGCAGGGGTGGCGGGGTGGCGGGGTGGCGGGGCAAGGACGCCGGCTCCGGGGGGACGCGGCCGCCTGCGGGCCCCGCGGGCCCCGGGGAGTCGGCGCCTCCGCCGCCGCGGCGGCCCGGATTTCTCCCCAGGGGAGGGAGCCGAGCATCTGAACCGTGACTCAGCGAGAGCGGTCCTCGGACCGTGACTCAGCGAAAACAGACCTCGGGACCGTGACTCTGCGAAAACAGACCAGCGATCGGGACTCCGCGCCGAGTCCGCCGGCGTGACTCAGCAGGAAAGGGCGGCAGGGGTGCGGGGGAGTCGGTTCCTCCGCGGGAGGCCGTCAGCGCCCCGACCCCTGCCCCCGGACCCCCGCTGAGCTTAGCAGCCGCCAGCGCCCGCGGGGCCCGGGCCTCGGGGAGTGCGGGAGTGGCAGGTACGCGGGCTACCTGAGCAGGTGACCTGGAGCAGGTAACTCGGCCCCTCCCAGCGTCGTGGGCAGCGTGGGGACGGCTGCGGCGGCCTGGGAGGGTCCTCGGCCCCACTGAGTGACCCCACCATTTCCTTCTGCCCAGCTCAGCCAACTCTTGGCTGCCTCAGTGTCCCCGTCTTCAAACTGAGGGGCAGAGAGAAGAAGCTCCCTTCACTGGAAGGCATTCCGTGGGTGTATGTTTATACTTTAAATAATCCATTTTTATCCCCACTGTACTGCCCTGAGGTCTATGATCCCCAACCTGCAGACCACCGTTGTTAACGTTCTAGTGTATTTTTTAGGATTAAAAAAATAATCCACTCTATCATGCCCACAAAAGAGTATATTCTACAGTATGATTCTGTACAAGGAACAATAACAGGAACATAGCTTATGAAGTAGCTTTTTCTCTTTTTTCTATGCAAATTCTATATGATTGTGATCCTAATGTCTATGGTATACCTTTGTCTTCCTTTTCCTTCATTAACACAACTGTTTTCCCAAATTGTAACAAGGCCCTTGTAAGCATTATCTCAAAGGCCTTGCAAAAATCCATTCAGGAGACATTCATTCATTCAACACAGTATCCCGCCCCAGTGCCTGGGGCCTACTGTTAAACCTTTGGGTTGCTTCCTATTTATTTTTTTCCTATTGAAGGAGAAAGATAAGGACTATTTAAAACATTCTCAGTGGCTTTCACATACTAGGGGAAGGGCGTTTTTCATATCAGAGAATTGTCTTTATTTTTAAACATACGTTGCTGGCTTTCCCCTGCTCCCCAAGATCTGGATGGAAAGGTTAAGAACAAAGGAGGAAGAAGGGTGGGCTGTGAGGGATGTCTGAGACTAGGGCCTTCAACAGATGCTGGGGGCACCTGGGTGGCTCAGATGGTTGAGCATCTGCCTTCGGCTCAGGTCATGATCCCAGGGTGCTGGGATCGAGTCCCGCATCGGGCTCCCTGCTCAGCGGGAAGTCTGCTTCTCCCTCTGCTTCTCTCCGTCTCTCTCTCTCTCTGTCTCTCATGAATAAATAAATAAAATATTAAAAAAAAAAAAAACAGATGCTGGAAAGCAGCAGGTGAACTGACTTCTCCCTGAGGCTTACCTAGGGCTCACCATACTTCAGGGGGCCACAGAAATGTTTTAATTTTAATTTCTTTTAAAATCAGAAGAGGGGCGCCTGGGTGGCTCAGTCATTGGGTGCCTGCCTTCGGCGCAGGTCATGATCCCAGGGTCCTGGGATCGAGCCCCGCATCGGGCTCCCTGCTCCGCGGGAAGCCTGCTTCTCCCTCTCCCACTCCCCCTGCTTGTGTTCCTGCTCTCGCTGTCTCTCTCTCTGTCAAAAAAATAAATAAATAAATAAAATCTTAAATAAAATAAAATCAGAAGAAAACAGGGGCGCCTGAACGGTTCGGTCAGTGCCTGTCAGAAGCCTGACTCTTGGTTTCCGCTCAGGTCATGATCTCAGTGTCCTGGGATTGAGCCCCAAGTCGGGCTCCCTGCTCAGCAGGGAGTCTGCTTCTCCTTCAGCTTCTCGCTCTCCCCCTGTGTGCACGCACCTCTCTCTCAAATAAATAAATAAAGTATTTTAAAAAAATAATAAAATCAGAAGAAAACAAAAGATACAATAATAATAAATATAAAATAATGAATCCAGTCGAGAGTGTATTCATCTCTATACTACTGCAGTCCTAAAATGCTATTTTTAATTTTAGTTATTTAGTTATTTATTTTTTAAATGGAGGAGAGGGTCCTCAAAGACAAAGGTGCCTTGGGCCCATGAAAGTCGGAATGCATCCTTGCTGGTAAGCTGGGGTCTAGGATGAGGAAGTGAGCAGTAAGAAATTGCCAGGGGTGAGAAATGGCCCGTGGGCTTGCCGGCAGAGGTAGGCTGATGCTAGACTCCTAGTAGCTGCCTGGGTGGTGCGCCTGGCAGTGGTCCTTCACTGCAAACCCTCAGTCTAATCTACCGTTCACAAGGGCTCCAGGGGGGTTCTTTGCAGGAATGAAGGCATAGGCCCCCAGGGAAGAGATGGAGGAGGGGTCTGAAACTGGCCAGGGGAACAAGGGGGGCTTGCAGGACATTGAGCTCCCTGGAGGCTGGGTGGGGCTGGGACCTTGGCGTTTAATTTTCCTTTTCCTTTTTCCTAATTAAAGGGAACACCAAGAACTTGGGGGTACCATGGAAGCACACACTGGGTTACAAATCGTTGTAAAGAACAGCAAAAGGAACATCTTCAGGCGAAGTGTTTCCTGCATTTTTGATTATGGGTTTAGATGGAAAACCAAGAGCAGAATTACTGACTGGGCCAAGCATAGAACTAACTAATTTTAAGGCTTTTGGAGTCTTGGGGCACCTGGTTGGCTCAGACAGTGGGGCATGTGACTCTTGATCTCGGGGTTGTGAGTTTGAGCCCCACGTTAGGGGTAGAGATTACTTATAAATAAAATCTTTGAAAAAAAGACTTTAAAAAGATTTATTTATTTATTTGAGGGGGGACAGAGAGTGTGGGGGGAGGGCCAGAGGGAGGGGGAGAGAGAGAGAGAGAGAGAGAGAGAGAGAGAGAGAAGCAGACTCCCCACTGAGCATGAAGCCTGAGGCAGGGCTCGATCCCAGGACCCTGAGATCATGACCTGAGCCGAAATCAAGAGTCAAATGCTCAGCCGACTGAGCCACCCAGGCACCGCCTCCCCCCAAAAAGGCTTTTAGAATCTTTTGCCTAATTATAGGTAAAAGTAAATGATTACTTTTTGTAACTTTATTTCTCATGTTTCTATAGTAAATATGACTTTTGCCACTGGGGCTCAGAGTGGGGGCAGTTTGCTTTTGTTTGAGTGACAGCCGGGAGGAAGGACCACCCCAGCACTCTGCAGGATGGTGTGCTGTTTGGCTGCAAGTGAAGGCACTGAGGGGTCTGGGACTCACCCCCTAAGGTAGGAAGAACCGGCACTGGGGCTTCAGGAAGAGGCCCTTTACCTTCTACCCAGGGCTGGGAGGAGTCCTATCACAGGTTGGTTGGCATGACTTTGCCCCTGAGCAGCTGACTGGGCAGTTGGGTGCCCGTGGTGTGTGTGGGGGGGGGTGGGGAGGGGTGGAGGAGGGTGGTGGGGAGAGGTGGCAGGAGTGGATGAGAAGGTTGGTGGTGGTCGAAGGCGAAGGAAACGCGCTCTCTCTCTGTCTCTCTCCTGGCAGGTGCCTGCAGCAGCCCCCTCCTGCCCGGAGCTCAGCTTCAGTGCTCTGATTTCCTGAAAAGCCCTCCTCATGCCCCTGTGGAGTTTGGGGTGAAGCTCCAGGGAGCCTGAGGGTCTGTTATAGGCAGAACTGTGTCCCCAAATTCACCTGTAGAAGCCCTAACCCCCAGTACCTTCCAACGTGATTGTCTTTGGAGATGAGCCTTTACAGAGGGGATGAAGTTAAAACCATGCTCTTCGGATGGGCCCCGATGCGGTCGAACGGGTGTCCTTCTAGAAGAAAGACACGTGGGCGCATGCACGGAGGGAGAACCTGTGAGGACACACCAGGAAAGCTGTTGGCAAGCCAAGGAGAGGCCTCGGAAGAAACCACACCTGCTGACGTCTAGACCTTCGGCCTTCAGAAGTGTGAGAAGATCAGCTTGTGATTGTTTGAGCCACCCAGTCTGTGGCGTGGCGTCACGGCCCGTGGCTGGCACACTGACACCGGGCCCGAGACTCAAGACCGGAAGGGGCCCCGGAAGAGCAGGCTCGTTCAGCTCTCCTTCCTCTCCTCTCCTCTCTCCCTTTTTATTTTGAAAAAATGCCAGACCTACTAAAAAGCTGACACAAATAGCACACTGCACAGCAGTACGCCCTTCCCTTGGGTCCCACCTTGTCGGGAATTGGCTGCTTTTGTGTCTCTCTCTCCTTTTCTCTTCTTTTATTATTTTTCCAGAACCATCTGCGAGTACGTTGTGGACATCCTGCCACTTCACCTGTAGGAGCAAGGACACACATCTGCATTGTTATCATCATAGTAAAGACAATGCTGACACCCTAACGTCCTTCACTGTCAGCCCACACTCACACTTTCCCAGGGAACCCCCAAAACAGTCCTTGGGGAGGACCCCCAGAATCTAGTCAAGGTTCATGCCCTCCTCTTTTGCTGTCGTGTGTTAGGTCTCTCGTGGCATTGACTCTGGAAGAATTGTTTGGAGGAGACAGGTCAGTTGCCTTGAAAATGTGCCATGTTTTGGATTTGTCTTTTTCCCTCATGGTTAGATTCTGGAGGAACGTTCCTGGACAGAGTACTATATGGTCATGTTGCGTCTCCTCCTCGGGTAGAACCAAGGAAACTGAGACCCAGCTAGTCAGTGGCGGAGTTTAGATGCATTTCAGTACCAGATTATATTTTTAAAGATTTTATTCATTTATTTGAGAGAGAGAGAGAGCAAGCGGGGTGGGGAGGGGCACACGGAGAGGGAGAAATAGACTCCCTGCTGAGCAGGGAGCCCAAATGACACAGGGCTCAATCCCAGGACCCTGAGATCATGACCCCAGCGGAGGGCAGACTCAACGGACTGAGCCACCCAGGCGCCCTTCAGTACCAGATTTTTTATTTGCCTTTATCAAGCCTGTGACTGATTGTGTTGAACAGGAAAAGTGCCTTTGTGTCAAGTGGGGGGTGTTCATTAAACAAAGGAAAACAGAATCTATTAATATAAGCAATGCTCTCTTCCTTGTAAAGCCTGGTGGTTAAACACACACGTAGGACACAGCTTTGAATCTCATGTGTAATAAGCCATGTGACCTGAGTAAGTCTTTTAACGTCTCTGGGCCTCGGTTTTCTTATCTGTAACATGGGGATAATAATGGTACCTACCTCCCAGGCTTGTGTGACATGAAATTATCCATGTCAAATGCTTAGCGTGGTGCCTGGCTTGTAATTAATTGCCCAATAAAAAGTAATTATTCTCATGGATGTGTTTTTATAATTACAATTATTGACAAATAAAAGTGCGCCGGCCTTATCACTTCCGTGCTTCCCCACTCCCTCAAGCGAGTCAGCAGGAACAAGGTAGAGGCCGGTAAAAGTGGGCAGGCCATAGCTTGAACTTGAGGGAGCCCCCGCCAGGAGGAAGGACGTGGCCTGAAGCCTGAGTGTCCCAGGATTCTCCGCGGGGCACAGGACTCTGGGCGGCACACTGTGGACCCTGTGAGTGGTGTCTGAGGAGCAGCCTCTTTCCCCAGAGCCCTTGGGGGGGTGTCATTCTCCATGTACCCCTGGTAAAGGATGGGGTTGCACTTCCTGCCTCCCCTGGGGGAGGAGGACTTATGTCAAATTTCAGGCCTGAGCATCCTGTGGCCAGTGTGAGACCCTGCACGGCTCTTGTTCTCTGGCTTGGAACAGGCCATTCGGATGATGGCTTCTCCCCCTGTCTGGGTCCCCAGGTGCCTCTCCCGGCCAGCCCGCCATGGACACACGTGTGCACAGAAAACCACCCTTTCCTGGGGTGTTGTGTCCAGCACGACTACAGTCAGCAGCCCCGTCTTGTATGTTTGAAAGTCGCTAAGAGAGCAGATCTTAACAATTCTCATCACAGGGACACCTGGGTGGCTCAGTGGTTAAGCGTCTGCCTTCGGCTCAGGTCATGATCCCAGGGTCCTGGGGTCGAGCCCCTCATCGGGCTCCCTGCTCGGCGGGAAGCCTGCTTCTCCCTCTCCCTCTGCCTGCCACTCCCCCTGCTTGTGCTTGCTCTCTCTCTCTCTCTCTCTGAAAAATAAATAAAATCTTTAAAAAAAATTCTCAACACAAGAAATAAAAAAGATAACTGTGAGGTGATGAACGTTAACTACATTTGTGGTGATCATTTCGCAAGGTATGCATATATGAAATCATCGCGTCGTGCCCCTTAAAACTAGTATAAAGTTCTAGATTAATTACATCTCAATAAAACTGGGAAGGAAAAAAAAAGAAACGCTTTGTTATTGGAGCAGTAGAGGGGGGAGGCTTGTTTATGACCTCAGGGTCACCCAGCCCACCCGCCTGCGGCCCCTCAGCCACGCTGCTCCCTTCCCAGCTTCCCCCGTTCCTTTCCAAGGGCTGCCTCAACTCCCCCTCCTCTCTCGGCAGCTGCACCAGCCCCTCGCTCCTCCCCCGCATGCCTCTCACCTTGCCCACCTGGCCACCCAACAGTGCGCCTGGTGCTTCCAAACCCACCTGCGAGGGGCCTGGGTTCTGCCCGCGGCAGCGGGACCCCCCTCCCCCATTTTACAGACGAAGAACCAGGGCCCACAGAGCGGACAGGGAGAGACGGGGCCAGGATTAGACCAGCGGAGACAGGATGGTGGCGAGGGATGAAGCCCGTGGCTCACTGTGTGTCTCCCCCCTGCCCCCCCCGGAGGGGAGCGGGTCTGTGGCTGACCGGGGTCCCCCCCGGCCCCCCGGCCTGCCCGGCCCGCTCCTCTGGTTTCCCAGAGAGCCACACGGGTGAGCCCACCTTGCCGCTCATGGCAGGGCTCCTTCAGAGGTTCTCTGGAGGTTTGGAGTGGGTGCTGGGTGGCCCCCCGAGAGTCCAGACCTTTTTGGTCCCCGATGAGTTACTGGGAAAGTCCCTCACCCTCTGGGCCACCTCCAGGTCCTCTGTCAGGAGGGCCGCGCAGGAGGCCTCCAGGGGCTGGACGGGCAGCGTGAGTGAGGGAAGCCGGTTGGGGCCCACATGCCCCAAGGCAGGGGCAGTTGGAACTCAACTCCAGCCAACTCTTGGCCCTGTGAGACATCCCCTTTTCTTTTTTCTTTTTTAAAAAGAGAAATGAGAAATATCACATTGGTTTTCAAACACTGGCAATAAACTCCATTAAAAAAATAACACCACTCCAGGACTTGACATAGCCCTCCAGCGGCCAGTCTGAGGCTTCTGGGGTTTGGGTTCCCTCTAGCTCTCCGGCTGCTTCTCTGATTGTTTGATTGGTCTGTGATTCCTTGGGGGGGGGGGGGTGGTGGTCAGGTGGGGCTGATCCCGGAGGGGATTTCGGAGATGGTCATTCCTGCTGTTTTTTGGCACGTCCCAAGCTGCCCTGTGACACTGGGCCTTCCCTGGGGCGGGGGGGGGCACAGACTTCATCCTGCCAACGCTGTGTGTGCCGAGCGTTCTGGGGACCGGTGTCATCTGCGCTGTTGTCATCATTCCACCTGAGTGAGGTCTTTCAGGGATGGGTCATCATGGTCCGGTCCCTTGGGAGTCTTGTGGCTGGTCTGGGTTTCATGGAGACTGGAACCCTGCTTCGACTAAAGAAGAAAAGGAAAGAAAGATCTGCTCATTCCTTGTGTGTCTGGGAAGACAAGGGCTGTGGCTTGCTTCTCGCTGAGTCCTCCGAGCCTAGCACAGAGCAGGGCAGGGTCACAGCGAAGGCAGCCCCTGCGGGGACAAGGCGGGACGGACGCTGGAAATACTGAGCCCAGCCTTCTGAGCTGGAGGAACAAGACTGATCAAAGAGGGTGGGGTGTGTCTGTTTGCCTGAACCACCAGTTCGATTTTTTTTTTTAAGTGAACTTTAAAAAAAGGTTACTTAAGTAATCAAAGCCATTCAACTTGTAGGTTGTGAAGCCCAGAGGTGGTGTTTTTTTGGTTTTTTTTTTCATTGTGGTAAAATACACATAACATAAAATTTACCATTTTAACCATTTTCAAGCATGTAGTTCAGTGGCGTTAAAGACATTCATACAATTGTGTGACCAGCACCACCATCAGGCTCCTGTACTTTTTCCATCATCCCAAACTGAGACAAAGTACACATTGAACAATATGTCAGTTAGAGTTTATGGCTTCACTGATGGCTTCATGTTGGTGAAAAGGGTTCCCATAGGAAATGGTGAGTGTCCCATCACTGGAGGCATGCAAGCCTAGACTGACTTGACTAGCAGAATGGCACCACCAGTCTATGACTGTGAACTTGTCCTTACCAGGTTTCTTTTGGAGGGTGAGACAAAAAGCCTTACCTGTTGCTAACTGAGATGAGAAGTTTTGCCAAGTGGGGGGGGGGGGGTTGTGTCCCAGGGGACATGATTTGACCTGCACTTTATCTGCGTTACAAGCTGCCCAATAATGAGGCTCCATTATATCTCACACATCCCCCAGTCTCGTCAGGCCAGTCTGGGTCCAGCCCCCAGATGCGGCAAGTTCATTCATGCTCCTGCCCATGCCTCGCCTTCCAGAAACGTCAAATAGCCCCCCTCCACTTCTGCAAGGAGTAGGAGAGTATGTAGTGTATGGTAATCAGAGGGATAATGTTGGTTTTCTACTCCACAGCCTCCCCCCTTCCCCTTGATGACAGACTCCCAAGCTGTTCAGGATTCAGATGAAAACATGCTCAGGGAAGGTGGGTCCAGGGCCAGGGCATGAACCAGGATTGGTCTAAGGTGTGGACTCTAAGCTCTCTTGTGGTTAATGCCATTCCTCTTTGTCAGCACAGTCACAGAGGTGAATTCCCAGATGGAGGAATGACATGGTCAGGAGGTTTGAAGTGACTTGTTTTGAGCTGAATCCTGAAGGGTGAGTTAGTTAACTGGGGGTCATTAGGGCAGTTCTAGAGGGAACAGCACATGCAAGGGCCCTGTGGTCAGAGTGTGAACCATTTGAGGTGTGAAAGCCAGCCTGTGTGTGTAGAGTGCAGAGATCTGGAATGTGGCAGGGCATAGACACCCCCTGACCCCCACCCCAAGGCCTGGGAGCCTAGCCTAGGAAGTGGGTCTCTAACCTGAGAGCAAGTGAAGGGTTTTAGGGGTGTGTGTGTGTGTGTGTGTGTGTGTGTGTGTGTGTGTGTGTGTTGGGGTTTGGTGTGGGGGTTTTAATGAAACCCGGTCAGATTAGCCTTTTGACATTTATTCTGGCTGCATGTGAGGAAGGCGTTGTGGGGAGGGCAGAGTTGATGCTTTAATCCCCTCGCTTCACGCCAAGTCCAAGTCTGAAGTCCTCTGAAGATCTCTCAGAGCCTGGATGCTGACGTTTTCACCACTTCCCCTGCCCCCACGGCTCCTGCTTCTTCCTCAGTGATTCTGCTGCTCCTGTGCTGACTCAGATGTGAAACTTCACCCCTTCTCCATTTACACAATCCTCCTCTTGACAAATACTTGTGAGCAGAGGATTTACTAAAGATCCTGAGGTCACAGAGACACTTTCACATGGCAACTGCGATAGGTCTGTTCTTCCGGACCTTTTGGGGATACCCTGTTCCCTCCCTTCCCTGGGTCTTCCCTGCATCCTCAGCTTCCCCTCCCCTCTTGCAGGTGGTTTCGGAAACCGGGGATTCCCTGTCACAGGCAAAGCGGTTCCAGTCTCCCCAGCCTCCCATCCCCACGCTTCGTTCACAAACCTGAAGGTGTCATCGGTTCATTTTCTCCCACCGCTGCCTTCCTCCAGGCCCAGCCTCCCATCCGCAGCCTTTGTGACGCCTCAGGCAGTTTTGCTAACTTCCTGGTCACTTTCACAAACATGACAAAGTCCCTTCCCAAGCTCATCCTCCTCGGTTTGACATCCCCCCTGGCCCACCCCCCACCTGCTCCTCGGTACTTCGGGGCCTTGCTGGAGGGGCATGGGGGTGGAGTGCCTGCTCCTTCGCCCCCCTTGGCTCTGTCCCCCTCTGGGTCCCTTTCTTGTCTGGTGGGCTGTGGCAGGGAGGAGGGAGATGGAGGGGCCTCTCATCAGCGGGTGCCACCCTGGTTCTTGCTGCGTGACACCCCTCTCTGGCGGGCCCTTGATGTCCTCTGTGTGGCAGGTGTCCATGCAGGCTCTGGATGGACTGGGGTTGGGGGGTGGGGAGTGGAAGAAGGGATGGCTCCATCTGCATCTGTGCTGGATGAACGCACCTGGACTAGCGGTGAATGGACCTCAGGGCAGGATGAACGAGGGAGGGAGGTGGGGCTGGAAGGGAATGCTCTGGCTGGCTCAGCCAAGGGGCTCGACCACCGCCCCCCGGCCCCCCAGCTCTGCTGCAGCATCGGGAGACACCCCAACGCTGTCTGCCCTTGACCCTCAGCCGGTCAACCACGGCCAGGGCCACGGCCACGGCTGAAGGGCTGGTGGGACAGTAACTGGGGGGCGAGGGAGGGAGAGGGGCTTCCTGCTGGAAGTTGGGAGGCTAAAAGCCAAGATCCCCAAGTGCCGGGGAGGGCGGGGCCAAGGGGAGAGAACCAGTAGCTCATCTGAGAGTCAAGGTGCCCACCCTAGAGCCAGGTTTGCAGAGTGGAGGGACCAGTGCAGAGGCCAGGGTGGTCCGGACAGGTGGTGTGCAGCCATGGTGGTGCCCCGGCCAGGGTGAGCCCAGCTGTCCTCGGCTCCTGCCAGTGTGGGTCAGGGTTCTGGGTGGGTAGGTCCCAGCGGGGCTGGACGAACAGGCCGGGCAGTTAGTTCCCAGGGACAAGGCGGCCTGGAATGCTCTGGCTGGAAGGAGAAACTGCCCGGTGAGCCACGCAGGACACACAGTCCAATGACGATGCATACTGGAAAAGAAAAATATATTAATTCCTCCACGCATTGTAAAATGTTTTACAGACAACAAAACCAAAACGGACAAGAAAATTTCCAAATCCAGGGTCCTTGGTGGAGAAGTTTATACCCCGCTGGGCCGGTTGGTCTCTGGGGTGTAACATTCTGGAGGAACCTGGTGCAGGGGGAGGTGCCAAGGGGGGTTTCTGCACAGCGACTTCCAGGGCCCTTAGCCCCCCTTCCTGCTAGGCGGGTCCAGTGGGAGGTCTGCACTCTAGTCCTGCCTCCCTGCAGGTGGCCAGGAAGCTTCTCCAGACTCCATGGTGCCGGGTGCAGCCCCGCATGGGGGTGCAGTCCCGCCCCCCAGCTTAGGACCCCACCCGCATTTGCCTGTGCAAGCGCGCGCGCGCGCACACACACACACACACACACACACACACACACTGTGCCTTTGCTGGCTCCAAAGCAGCCCCAGCCCTGGAATAAACTGCACCTCATCCCTACTCCTGCAAGGACTCTTTCTCCCCAGAAAAGAGCACTCAACAAGGCCTGTCCACTTCCCAGCTGTGTGACCTTGCTCTGGTCGGCTGACCCTCCGGAGCCTTACTTTTCTCCTCTTTAAAATGAAGAGTCCTTTTCTTTCCGTCTCAGGAGTGGCAAGGGCAGGGTCCCACCACCTCAAGTGCATCCCAAGGGCAGGGAGCATCAACAGCCCCCTGGCCCTCCTCCTCAGTGGGCCAGCTGCTTCCCCTTTCTGGGGGCTAGCTTGGGGTGGGGCCAGGGGTTGGGTGCAAGCGTGTTCCCAGCTTGGGTTTCACTTCCCTCCTGCCTCCGAGAGAGTGGGCCAAGCTCCCCAGTGGGCACCCCGCATGCTGCCGAGGGGGGATTGCCCAGGGGCCTTGTCACTCAGAACCCCCCCCCCTCACCTCCCACGCCTGCTGCTGGCCTGCCCGGCAGGTGGTTCCCCAGCCTGACCCAGGAGCCCCAGGCCAGGCTGGAACAAGGTAGCCTCCAGCCACCTTGCACTGGGTGGGGAGGCAGCGTGGTGCTGAGGCAGGCCCCTCCCTTCCCTGGGCCTCTGCTTCCCTGGCTGTGACTCTTATGACCAGGGATTTGCGGCCTGGGTAGGGGTGGACTTCTCCCCGGTGTCAGCCAAGCGCAGAGGTGCAGCGTGAGCATGGAGCGAGGCTGGACAGTGGGGGCGAGAGGAGTGGGGCAGGGAGTGGCCTAGGGCAGGGGCAGGGAGAGGCCAGGGCCCTGAGTCAGAGGAGAGGGGGGAGGATGCTTCCCCGAGTGGGACCCTGCCCCGGAGCGGGCAGGAGCGAACCCTGCAGACTCACGGTCTTGGGTCTGCTCTAAGACGTACACTGGGTGGCGTGGGGACCAGGACAGCCCATAGCCCAGGCTCCATCTGGGCACCTGTGACCTTTCCTCTACTCTCCCAACCCTGGTCTGCCCTTGGCCCCAGTGGCGGCTCCTTCCTGGGCTCTCAAGGCCAATTTGGCCCAAGGATGGACCTTCGAGGCAGCCTCACACCTGTCCCAGGGGAGGGGGGCAGGGGAGTGGAGGTGGGTGTTCCGCGGGCTCACCCTTCCGCAGAGCCCGTGGCCCCGTGCCGAGCAGGTGGGCCTGGGAGAATGGCCGGGTTCCGGAGGGCCCCGGTTTATCTGGCCGGGCTGGGCTGACGGTGTCCCACCCCTGATTTAATCTGTGAAGTCCTCGCCCCCAGGACTCCAGAATGTGACTGTATTTGGAGATGGGCCTTGAAAGAGGGGATCACGGTTAACTGAGGTCATGAGGGTGGGCCCTGACCTGACCTGGCCGGACATCAGGACACTGCACACACGGGGACCGTGGGGTCGAAGGGAGGAGGCGGCCCGCAGGGCGGACACACACACCTTGCTGTGGTGGAAGCCCCTCAGCCTGTGGTGGAAGCCCCTCAGCCTGTGGTGCTTTGTGAGGACGGTCCTACTTAACACGCCGACAACGCAGGGCTTTGGGGGGCTGTCTGACACAGGAGGTAGGCAGGGGCAGTTTGGGGGTGGAAATTCCAGAACCGCACAAACGTTCGGATGGTTTGTGGAGACAGTGGAGACGTGGACGTCACTTCAGAGAGGCTTCCTCGGACCATCCTTCTTAGAAGCAAACGCCCTCGGCGTCCTCCTTCTGCTCCTGACCCAACAGTGGGTTGGAAGCCAGTAGATGGGGATGGGGCCCGGCAAGGCAGGAGGGGTGCCAGGTGGGCTGCCGCAGCCTGGAGTGGGGTGCTGGGGCCTGCGCAGGGTGAGGAGGGGTCTGAGCAGGGGCTCCGGGGGGTCCAAGCAAGGAGAGGAGGACACCTGCGGGGCAGGGCAGTGGGGGCAGCGGGGGTGGGGGGCCAGGCTCCTCCCTGTTGAAGGAAGCGACAGACAGGGAAGGGAAGGCCCGGAGGAATCCCGCGTGGCTGGATTGTAATCAGAGAGACCGGTGTGAACGCGTGCGTTTCTGCTCGCACAGGCAAGCACCATCTGATCTGCACGCCCCGTCCAGCGGGAAGCGCGGGGCCAGAGCGCCCCGTGCTTTGTAGGAGGCACCGGCAGAGGACAGGCCTGTTTGCTGCCCACCCCCCCTCCCCGTTTGTCTCGTTCAATCCTTCCCATAACCCTGTGAGTCGGACGGAATGAAAGGGCTGAGGTCCCTTGTCCAGACCCACAGAGGATCCTTCCCACCGGAGCTCCCAGCCCCGCACCAGTCAGAGTGTGTCTGGGGGCCGGAGGCAGAGGGCAAGGGAGTTTGTGTGGTTTGGATTCGGGGACAAGGACCCTTGTGCGGTGGCGCTGAGGGCGGGGAGGGCAGTGCTGGAACTGGCAGCCACCTCGCCCTTCTCGGGGTCAACACCGGGACGAAAGGGGTCGCCTTGGCGGCGGTGGACCCTGTCCCCACTTGCTGCTGGTGCATGCGGCGCTGCTGCCATCTCGTGGTCACCCTGGGACACTGCACTGAGCCCCTGTCACCAGAGCGGGGGAGGGCTCTGCAAACCACACACGGTCCGCTGAGCATGCACGGCCACCTGGGGCGGCAGCCCCGGCCCGGGAGCGGCACAAAGGCACTGTCTCAGGAACTGGGCTTGTCCTGGAGGCAGCGAGCGAGCACCCTGGAGAGCTGGGGTCCCTGAAATGACCCAGGAGCCCGAAGGCCAGTGCCCCTGGCGGGGTGTCGGGAGCAGAGGCTGTTCCGGATGCAAGGGGTACCACCTGTGGCAGGACGCGGGGGGTATCTTCTTGACAGGGGATGGGCCACTTGTCGTCTCAGTGAATCCTTACCACAGCCCCCTGAAGGAGCATCCGCTACAGTCCATTTTATAAGTGAGGAAACGGAGGCAGAGAGAGGCTACTAATTTGCCTAAGGTCACAGAGCTCTGGAGCGGCCCGGCCCGATCTGCGGTGAGGACAGTTGGCGAGGCTGGAGGCGCACACTCGGCTGGGGGACAGGTGGGGAGGTCAGTGTCTAAGCCCAGGGCGGGGTTCTGGAGGCTCAGGGAGGCCGGGAGGGAGTGCAGCGGCTGGAGGCTCTGCCCGTAGCTCTGGGGCGTGCTTCCCACGGCCCCCAGGGGCTGCCGGCAGGGCTCCATTCAACTTCTCCGTGTCCCTGGCCTGGTGCCACCTTCCGAGGCAGCTGGGCCCCAGCAGCAGCAGCTGGTGCATTAATCCTGTCCCACCGCCCTGGGGCCCCCGCCGGCTGCTGGTCCTCTCTCCTGGGGGGCCGTGCGACTTCCGGCCGCTGCCGCGGGGGGGGGGGGAGGCTGCCCTGAGGAGGGGGGTCCCCCCAGTGCTGCCCCCTGAAGGGGGAGCCCAGAGGCCCTCCTGCCGGGCCCTGCCACGGGCCCGGGCTCACCTGTCCAGCCTCGGGCCGTCCCTGGCCTCCCAGCCCCGTCACCGCATCAGTCTCCTTCCCGCATCTGGAGCAGCACGTGGCGCTTTTTGTGTTTGTCTCTGTTGCCCCCTTCCCTGGCGAGTGACCCACCGGCCTGGCAGCGGGCCGGTCACCTCGTGCTGCCAGCGCGTAGAACCACGCCCGGTGTGCAGCCGGCGCTCGGGGGATCCCACACACAGGAAAGAACCAACAACTTGGCTGCTCTAGCCATTCACAGGGCCACGAGCCCCTGGAGCCGGTCACAGAAGGTCCCCTGGGCTTTGGGGCTTGGATCCCCGTAAAATCACCATTCCCCACAGGGGACCCCTGAAACGGTGCCGTCACTCACCTGGGGGACAGATGAAGGAGGCAGGCACTGAGGGGTGAGTCGGGCAGGAAGGAGAGGCAGTAGTGCAGAGGACTGGGTCCCGCCCTTCCATTACTTAGTGGGTGACTAGGTAAGCCCTTGCTTCCCTGAGCCTCAGTTTCCCCACCTTTAAGCAGCGATCAAAACTGTCGACCACACAGGGCTCTTGTGACTGTGGAAAGGCCCAGGCTATGCTGAATGAGGTGGGGAAGGCTGGGGGAGCTGCAGGGGAGAGGGAGGGAGGTCAGGCTTGGGGACAGAGGTCTGCGAGCAGGGGTACCCCTGCCAGAGCTCACCAGGATCGTGTGTCCCCCGTGCCCTGCCACGTGAGCGGGTATGCATCTGTGTGTGTGTGTGTGTGTGTGTGTGTGGCCGTCAGCGGTCCAGCCAAGCCAGGAGCAGGGGAGTGGCCCCCTACGGTTGCCATAGTGCTCGTCTGACCCGCAGGGCTGCCGACCTCAACCATGCAGGGGCCAGCCGGAGAAGGTTCGTATGCTGCCGGAGATGAACTTCTCCCCACACGTGGAATCAAGCACACAGCTCAGCTCAGCGCCCGATGCCAGTGGCCTGCTGTGTTGTTGCCGGCAGTCAGCAAGGAACGGCCGGGTGAGGAGGGGGCCTCTGGAGGCCATGTGCTGGCGCGAGCACGGACCCAAGGGGGCAGCAGGGCTAGCGACATAAAGCCGTCCGGGGCCATTCGGAGGAGGCCAAAGTCGCCAACACCTGGTCCCCTCTGAGTGCTGGGGCAGGCTAGGATGGAGGGGCTGCTAATGCCCGAGGGGAAGCAGGGAGCAGAAGTGGCCAAGCCAAGCCACTCTGGCTTCCTCCCAGCTGTGAGTCAGAGCAGCCTGGGCAGGGCTGGCAGGGCTCCACACCTCGGCCTGGGGGTCCAGGAGCCCCTTAACACCTTGTTAAAACCAGAGTCTTCCCGTTGCCTGAGCTCACGTGCAGCTCAGATGTGCAGGGGGCAGGAGGGCAGCTCGAGTCTGGACCAGCTGAGCCTGGTATGAGTGGAGGGCAAGGGCCCAGGGGGCCTCTAGCTCACCGAAGCCATCAGCCCAGGCTGATGGCTGGCTGCCTGGGGGCAGTGGCATAGCTGCTCCCCCCTCGCCCCCCAAAAGAGGTGGTTTAGGTTGGAGGAAGAGATCAGACGCAGGGTGCGGCTGCCACCCGCCTCCAGGCTTGGCTTCTCTGCAAGCTCTGAAGCCTGGCCCAGACAAGGAGACCCCCGCCTCCCCTGCTCAGGGGATGGACAGGCCTGGGGCTGTCCCTGGAGTTCTTCACCCCACCTCCACCTGGAGGGCTGGCAGGGCCCGGTCTCCTGCGCACTCAGCCCAAGCCACCCCTTACGTCATAGGTGCTGCCTGCCTGTCACAGATGGGAGCCCGTGGCTGCTCAGAGACAGACCTGGGCCACAACCCAGGTCCCCCTGGACCCAGGCATTCTGACTTGTGCTCTCTCCCACAGGCTGACCTTTCAGGCAGGTCAATCGCTCCACCACTGAGGGCTGGGCCATGAGGTTCCAGCATATGCCTTAAGCACTGACTCTTGGGGAGCCTGGTGTGGAGATTCCAGACTGGAAAAGGTGGTTCCCCAAGACCTGGAGCTCTCAAGCTGCCATGCTGCATGACTGAATAAGAACGGACACCCTACGCCTGGCCTGTGGCTCAGCTCCCCAAGCTGTGTGTCAAGTCACCCAAACTGAGCCTCAGTGCTGCCTTCTGGAAAACCGGGACAAGGTACCGACGCACGAGGAAACGCCCAGCACATGATCAACAACTTCATCTATGCCGTGTTCTCTGGGCCGGAGCAGCTCACGTGACCCACTGAGTCACAGATTCAGCATCTGTGAGATGAGATGCTAACTTTACTTCCCCCGGCGTCTCGTGACAACTCCACGAGCCCGTGTGGACGCCCGCACTGTCTACACCTGCTCCCACGTGCTTCTTGTTGCCGGGCAGGAGCTTGCCTGAGGGGGCACAGCAGGGTGGAGGTGCCCTTGGGATGGAGGGATGCCACTCAGAGAGCAGTGCAGCCTCCTGGCAGGGCAAATCGTGGCTGACCTGCCCGTACCTGCTGACAGGTGTTGCTGGATGCAAGCCGTCCTGCTGCTCGTCCTATATCATCTGCAGGTGCCTGTCTCCTGGACGGCCCCCAGCCCAGCCTAAAGCAGTCCCTGTGAGCCACTTCCCAGCTGGAGATGAACAGTGTCGCTAGCAGGGTGCTTTTCTACCTTTAATTGGGGATACAAAAGGCACCTCTCCCAGTACAAGGGGATCAATCAACAGGTGGGTGGGCCCAGTGCCCGGTGGAGCCCTGCCTGGGAGGAACAGAGGGAAGTTGCAGGAGAAGGCAGTGGAGGTCGTGGGGGTCACAGGTGCTCCAGGCAGCCCCGGACGCCTCCCCTTTGCGGCCTGTGGAGGTCTCACCCCCACCACATGCAGCTTCGTACCTGGATAGCGTGCAGCTTGGCAGCCCCCTCAACAGCTAGCCAGACAGAGCCTTTGGACTCCACCAGGCAGGTGCTGAGGAATGGCCCAGGGGCTGTGACAGAAGCTTCTGCTGTCTCTAGCCCCCAGTCAAAGCCTCGGCTGACAGTGTGGGCGCCTCTGGGGATGGGTCCAGGGAGGGGACCACCCAGGGCAAGGAGTCACACCAGGGCGACCAAGCAGCCAGCCTGTCACAAGACTTCCTGCTTCTCAGCAAAGTAGTGGTCGGTTGGGGTAGGGAAGGAGGCAGGAGTCGGCCGAGATCCCAACGTGGAACTGACCCGTTACTCCAGTTCATCCAGCTGCCTCTCCACAGCCCAGGCAGCGTGGCCCAGCCACAGCTGGGTCAGCCCATACTCGAGGAGGAGAGAAGGGGGTAACAAGCCAACCTCAAAGCAGCCTTAACACCGAAGGAGGGAAAGAAGCCCCAGCCAAAGGGTGCGGGAGCAGCAGGGGCTCGAGCTGCAGGCGCCAGGCCCCACGCTCATAAGGCAAACAGCGTGTCCTCATCTTTCTCCTGGGTCTTCTTTCGAGGGGCAGTGCCACGAGGGGGCCCCGGGGGCCCTGGGGGCCCCTCAGTCGAGGGGCTGGAAAGGTTGGGCAACCGATCGGCTGCTTTGGCCCGTTCTTCCAGGAACTTGTCAAATTCTAGAGGAACAAGAGAGGGGCTGAGGGTGGGTCCTGCAGCCACAGCTGGGGGGTGGCGGGGGAGGAGGGGCAGGGGGCCGGGGCCTTCTACCTTCGCTGGTGACGCCCTTGGGCTCCTCCGCGTCATTCCCCTGAGAAAGCAGCAGGAGGCAGAGGTTAGCCAGGGTGGTCCTGCGAGGCAGGCACAGGCTGCTGAACCCCAGGGGGCCAGGCTCAGGTTCTGGCTGGGCCCAGAACCTGAACCTCAACCCCACCCCTTCCTGAGCTGCAGCCTTAGGTTTTGCCTGACTGCTCTGTGCCTCAATTTCCTGCGTGGCAAAATTGGTTGTCGGGAAGCTAAAATGGAATATCACACAGAACACCAAGCCCAGGGTGTGGAACACCAGTTCCTTTCCTTCTGGTGTGTAGAGAGTGGACAGACTTGGCCTTGTGGTGGGAAGGGACCCAGAAATGGAGACCACGCAGGCTAAAGTTGGGGGTGGGGGTGCCTTCTGCTCACCACCTGACAGGGACCCTTGCCTGACCTCGGGCAGAAACAACGGTCCTGGCCGCCGACAAAAGGCAGCCTCTGGGCCTGGGAGCGCTCAGGCCCTTGGTCTTTGGTGCCCAAAGGTGAGGTGGCAGATGCAGGGGAAGGAGCCCTGGACGGGAGGGCTGAGGCTGGTCACCGCTTCTGATCCCTGGGGGCCGTAGGGCTCTGCAGACGGCCTGAGCCCCTGCTTCCTCCTGGGCTCGGCACCCATCATGGCTGCTCATCAGCCTCCTGATCCGTAAGATGGGGCTGCCGGTGGTTTCTCTCGGACAGGTGCTGGAGGGCTCCCTGAGCTGGTGCAGGCGCAGGGTGCAGCGTGCTCACGGTAACCCTCAGCCTGGTCTGCCTTCCCTCCAGGCGGCCAAGACTCCCAGGGACCCACAGTGGCGGCACGCTCAGAAAGGGTCCGCTCCAGCAGCTGTGAGGCGTATGGGGCCCAGGCCCTCCTCTTGAAGGGAGTGCCCACCAGAGGGGTGGTGGGAGGTGTCCCACACTGATGCTCCCTCCCCTCCCCACCAGCTGTTCACCCTGCCCCTGTGACAGTCACGTCCTCGTGAGACGAACAGGAGCCCACGGTCAGCTGGGTGAGAAATGCACCTGAGCCTCTGTTCCTGGGCTGGGTGGGCCCCGGCTTACCACGTCTGTGGACAGCCACTGCTCGATGTCCTCCATGAGGCGGGCCTGGGTGACGGGGATCTGGAAGGAAGGGCAGAGGGTGAGGCAGCGAGGGGCAGAGCACTGGGCGTCAAGATGGAAGGCCCCAGCAGCTTGGAGCCCACTGGCTGGCCGGCCTACAGCTGTCACCTCCCCCCCTCATGAAATGGGGCCACACATGCCGCACACCCTTCTGGGGTGGTCAAGATCCTCGTAGCCCCTCTACCATGGCTCCTGCCAGCTCCCTGGGACCCACAATTCTGCCCGCTGGGCCGGGCTGTGGGCAAGGGGGCTACAGGGCCACTAGGCTAGGCAGGGCGCGGTGAGGGGGCTCCTAACGGCTGGAGCACGGACGTGAGGAAAGAACGGAGTCCTGCTGCCTCATGCCAAGGGCGCTGAGGAGGTGCCGGGCATCAGGGCCAGCCATCGGGGTGGGGTAGGGAACGGCTGCGGGGCCTGGGGCAGCCAGCCTCTGTCCCCGCCCCTCTGCAGACTCAGAGCTCCCGAGAGCGGAGGGGCGGAGAAGCACCAGAGCGCAGGGACGGGCCCAGATGACCAGACCAGGCCAGGGACGGGCCCAGATGACCAGACCAGGCCAGGCTGGTGTGCTCAGGCGCTGTGGCGACTCACGGGGCCTTTCGCTTTGTGCCGCCGACACATGGGCTCTGCCACAGAGGCTCCCGCAGCGGCGGGGACTTCCGTCTACACTGGGAGGAACCTGGGGGGGGTGGGGGATGGGGAGAACTCGCACAGAGCAGGTGCTCAGGAAGCGCTAATTACTATTTACCTCCTTCAGGCAAGAGAGGGAGACTGACAGTCTTTCCCCAGCCAGGCGGGCTCTGTCCCCAAGCTCTGTCCCCGGCACCCGGCACCCGAGGAGCCCAGGGGCGGGAGGAGAGCCCAGGGCAGAGCAGAAGCCCACTCCCCAGCAGTGGCGGCGGCGGCGGCGGCGGCACGTGCTCTGGGCTGCCCACACCAGTCCCCTCTCCCCCTCAGCTCTCTGCTGCCACTCAGCCAAGAACCTGCGAGCCCCAGTCACCTCCCAGCTGCCAGACAGGCCACCTGGGCCTGGCTTCCGAGGCAGGAGCCAGAAGTGGGCACCGAGGGGCCGTGGAAGCAGGAACAGAGGGGGTGGGACCGTGCTGATGCTGGGTGGGGGGGGCACCCACAGCACCCCTTGTTCTTCTCTGCGGCTCACGGTCCTGCCCCTGCCAACGGCACCACTAGGTGGGACCCCTGCCAGCGGCAGCCTCCGTTCTCTGGCCTGGCCGGCCTGGCCTCTCCTCACCATGCCTTGTCTCCTCATCCAGGCACTGAGGCTCTTCTCACTGCTGCCTCCCATCTGGGTGAGGAAAGGTCACGCTGAGGGTGGTGGGAAGGGCAGGGCCAGGGCTGCTGATGTGCGGGCAGCCTTCTCCACCACGGACGCCCCTCTCAGGTCGGCAGGCCGATCAGTGCCTCAGGAGGCCGTGTGCGCATGTGTCTGGGTGTGGGCGTGCACGTGTGTACGCACATCTGTGCAGGTGCAGGTGCTGTGGTGCCAGTTGGGGCGGGGAGGGCCAGGAAGCAGGAGAGGGTGTCTCACTGTGGGATGAACCACAACGGCCCTGGGACCCCAGGGTCCTGAATACGCTGGGCAAAGCTTCTCCTCCCTTTCCAGAACAATCCTGGGGGCATGCCTGTGCAAGCCCAGAAGGGCGGAGTAGGCAGCTGTTAGCCTGTCTGCTGGCTCTGTGGCGATGCTGATGGGTGTCCCAGGATTAGAAGAATATGGGCTTACTCAGTCCCCTCATGTATATCGATGGGCAACTGGGATTCTCGAGGACCCCAGAGATGACTGGTGGCAGAGAGAGGCCAGAGTCCTGCCTCCCTGACCCTGGAGAGACCGGCCCGGAGCCGGGACTTGCTGTCCAACACCCCCGCGACTTGTGGAGCCCAGGGGCAAACCCTGGCCGCCCCCAGAGCTGGAACTAGACGCCACTCTGCACTTGGCTGCTTGGAATCAGACCTGTCAGCTTGGTGGGAGAGAGCCTTACCAGCACCCAGCCAGACGTACTCACGTTGGGAGCAGGTGTGTAGGGACAGTTTTAAGAACATCATACCCTGATCTGATGGAAGCCGCTTAAACCTCTCTCGAGGGATCAGAGAGGAATAAGCAATCATTGAGCAGCTTCTGCTCTTGTGCAAGTAGAGGTGTGTGTACGTGTCCTCTTTGGGGCTGTGAGGCTGTATGGGAGCCAGAAGATCTAGGCTCTAGTTCTTGTCATGCCCCTGACATGTGTGCCCCTGAGTCGCCGGGAGCCCCTGGGCGAGTGACACCTGTCTTGGGCAGCAGCTCCTTCATCTGCAACTGGAAGGAGTTGGCTATGGAGTTAGCCTCTGTGCATGAGAGGCCAGGTGGCCCGAGAGGGAAGAGCTTCTAACAGGCTTCCAGAGTGGATTCATCTGGATTCCGGGCGCCAGGTTTTCTGGAGTGTTCCCCTCTGTTCCTGAGAACTCTGCAGGCCATCTGGGGCTCTTACTACCAGTTCCAGCTATGGAGCCAGAAAGGCCAACGGCGGTGACATCTTGGGCAAACGACATCACCATGCTAAGCCTCGGTTTTCTCATCCGTAGGTGGGGGCAACCACCCAGCAGCGCTGGGAAGATCAAACGCCATGTGCCAGGCACCACGCTAAAAATGTTACACCTGCTGCCTCCCTTGGCCTGTCTCTGGACCTCAGTTTTCTCACCTGTCAAAGGGGGTAATAACGTGCCCTGAGGGTCTGTGTCAGGACTCAGAAAAGGGGGATACGTAGAGGGTCTGGCACAGGGCAGAGGCTGGACAGGTGACCGTTTACAAAGGAAAATCACAGAGGCTCTGAGACACAGGTGTGAATGTGCTCTGCTTGGAGCCCAGCCACGCAGCACGCACGGGAGATGTGTCATGCTCTAGCTGCTCCTGCCCCCACAGCGTACCACGTCTTGCTCTGCTCTGACTTGGGAAGGACTCCTGAGATGCTGAGGATGCCTTTGGGGAATCTCCAGGATGCCCCACCCACTGGCATACCGGGCAGCTTCCGCCTCCTAGCTGCTCTCCCAGCCTCCCACGCTGGATCCTTCTAAAATGGACAGATAAAACTTCCCCTCTGCTCAAGACTGACCATGGCCTCCACCTCACACAGTGCTCCTGGCTGCCGGAGGCCTTCTGGTCCCTGCTGCCTCTTAGGCTCTGTCTCCCGTCACCCAGTCCCACCCTGGCCTCAGAAACCTGTGCTGTCCCTGGGCCTCTCCCCTGCCAATCCTCCCCTGCCTCTCCGACCCCTGGGCCCTGCCGTTTCTAGCCGCCTCCCAAGCAGCTACTCTGTCCACTTACTGGAACAGGAACTCTTGCCGCCCCAAAGGCATCCAGAGACAAATTCAAAGGGATGAGAACTGGACCTGGAGTTCTTGCCAAGGGGGAGGGGCCACCCAGAGAGCGCGCTCAGTGCCGGGCACGTGGCTCTCACTCTGTACGTGGCCAAGCACTTCGATGGAACTAAAATGGTGTCCCTGGATGCCTCCCTGCAGTTTTAGGGTCTGTCCTCTGGTCTCCTCTGTCCACACTCCTGCAAATAGCGGGGCTCTAGAGAGGCGGTGAGGCAGAGTGTTGACGGAGCTCAAACTCTGCCGGGTACCTTACACACTCCCTGTCACACATCCTCCTGTAAGCCACCGTACAGGTTGGCCGCGTGCCTCAGGACACACAGCCAGGAAGCCATGGCGCTGGGACGGGAACCCAGGCTGTGGGAGTCCAGCTTCCCGGCCCAGACCCAGGTGCATCCGAGTCCTTGCTCCAACCCTTCCTCGCTGGGTGAACCTGGGCAGATGACTGAACCTCTCAGAGCATTGCCTCCACTGTGTGATGGCAATTATCACATTGGCGGCAAAGGGCCCAGCCCCCGGGGGTGGGGGGGAACCGGTGGGCAAGCATTCCCTGGCTTCCCTTCTGGAAAAAGTGGCCGTAGGACCCTCTGCTTACCGATCCAGTGTTCTGCTGTCGGGCATCCAGGGCTCCCGCCAGACTATCTGCTGCTTGGGGGGCTTCGTATTTCACCCTGAAACACAGAGGCCACTGCCACCATGAACACTGCCCTTGCTGTTCCAGGTATGGCGGGACGCAAGGGTGGGTGGGGACGAGCTGGACTCACATCCTGGGTGGACCTGGGTCATGCCCGGGTAGCGGGTAGCTCAGGCCCTAGGAAAGGCTCTGACGCTGCAGGCCTGCGGGGGAGGGCAGACCTGGGCTCAGACGTGTGACCGTGACAGGCAGCAACGAGGCTGAAGTGACGGAGGGTGGTGGGCTGGCCAAAGGCCAAGAGCAAGTTCGCCAACGGCTCTCACCAGATCTGGCCCAACTCCAGGGCTGAGAAAGAGCGCCCGTGCCCCCATGCCCATGGAGAATCCCATATCTAGACCCTTCTTCGAGCAGCTTCCACTTTGTAACGTAATAAATCGTGGTTCTGTATGAGGCCGCCTTGGACGGGGAGTTCCCTTCTGCTGCTGAAAACAGCCCGGCAGACGGGGTGTTCCCTTCTGCTGCATGGCTCCCCAGCACCAAGCTCCCCCTGGCCCGCCCTGCCCTGGCAGCATGGTGGAGGGCCCTCTAAATGTCCTGGGGGCTGCCAGCCAGCCGGGCGGGGCAGGGAGGGCAGCGGCTGAGCACCAGGAGGCTGTTTGCCGTGCCTGAGGTGGGTCTCAGTGGGAGCCAGAGGCGGCCTTGGGGACTTAGCCGTGAGTCTGGCAAAGAGTGGTTACTCTCCCTGTGCAGCGTCCGCGGAAGGAGGCGAGGTCTCGGCACTGGCCCGGCCAGGTTCGAGGGAAGAAGAGCCCCGCACGATCGCAGTGGCAAAGCGAAAAGCCCTGCACTTCGGGATGGGCCAGGCCGAGGCTTCAGGAACTGGGACCCCATCGAATGATACCCTTGCAATGCCAAATGGCCTTCCTGGGAATGGGGCAGACAGGCACTCCAAAGGGCCTCTTGAATAAGAGCCCCAAGTCCCCAGGCAGCCGTTTGACAGCACTGTTGTCCTCTCCCTCATGCAGGATATGGAGTTAGCCGGAAGAGTGCCATCGAGAGCTGGCTCATCCCCCAGTGACGTGGCTCCCGTCCATCGGGGGGCTGGGCACTGTCTGCGGGGCTGAGATGGAGCCAACCTGAAAGCAGGGTGGCGGGTGATGTGCTCAGGCCCCTCTGGAGGGCAGCTGAGTCTCCGTGGCTCAACCTGTGCAGTGAGAGGGGGTGAGGGGGAAGTGATGGCTAACACTGGGCCATGCGTCCTGACCCGGGGAGGGCCTGCCCACTCAGGCTACGGAAGTAGCCCTGTCGCTTTCCCTCTTTCCCTCGAAGACACGGCACGTGTGTTCCGGAAAAAGGTAGAATAAGGCAGGTCCTGCCCTAGGAACATACAGAAACCCATCCTTTTCTTCACTCAAAAGAACTGTATGTTCTTTCCTAATTACGTCCCCCCATCTCTGCTTTTCTGTGTCTCTCCAACCCACCCGGCCCTGGGGACGAAGCTTGGCCATCCCCGGGGCCATGCCTGCGGCAAGGGAGGGCCGAAGACAGCCCTGAAAGAGGTAGCCCACAAGGCCCACTCCCAGCTGTAGATGTTTGGCCAGGTGTCTACTGCCCCACACCTGGTACAGGTGTGGGGAGGGCTACACCTCAGAGGGTTGTGGGGAGGCCGGTGGGCAGGGACTGGACCTGGGGTCACCTGGATGACAGTGGCACTAGGGAGGAAGTGGAGCATGTGCCCAGGATGATGATACAAAAGAAGGTGAGGAAGAGCATCCCACTTTCAGCAAAGCCTGGCTAAGGTGCCCTGAGTCTGGCTCGTCCAGATGCTCCCTGTCGCTCTCCTTGGTATCCCAAGTGGAGGGGCCTGCTCAGCTGGAGAGGCCATGACCGTGCCAGCTGCGGTCGGGGCTGGAGCAGAAAGACAGGAGCTGCCAAGGAGCTGGGTCCCTGGTGAGCAGATGCAGAGCTGGCACAGGCTGGAGGGAAGGAGTCAGGGGGAGGGCGCCTGGGTGCCTCAGTCGGTCGAGCGTCTGCCTTCGGCTCAGGTCATGATCCCAGGGTCCTGGGATCGAGCCCCGCATCGGGCTCCCTGCTCGGCGGGAAGCCTGCTTCTCCCTCCACCGCTCCGCCTGCTTGTGTTCCCTCTCTCGCTGTGTCCCTCTCTATCAAATAAATAAATAAAATCTTAAAAAAAAAAAAAAAAGGAAGGAGGAGCCAGGCAGGCAGAGGTGTGGGCCAGACACCAGGTGGGCAGAAAAGGCCTTAAAGGGTTCAAGCGCCCCAGGAGACAGGGTGAGGAGGGGAGTCCAAAGGCCAGTCAGGGGGCTAGAAGATCCAGCTGGGGCCTAAGGGAGGGACTCCCAAGCAGAACAAAGCAAAGAGGAACTCGATGCTAGGGCACTCTCCTCCCTGTGGGCTGCCTTCTGCTGTGGTGGAAGCCAGTCCCCAGGGAGGGCGTGCAGGAGAACCCATGACCCGAGGAGGTACAGGATGTGCCCTCCCCCCAGCATCTCATGCTTTCCTTGCCTCCGAGCCTTTGCACACACTGTTCCTATAGCCTGAAATGGCCTTACTGCCTCTCATCCCCGAGGTCCAGCCCTGAGCACCCTCTGCAGAGCTGCCAGCCACCACGCATGTGTCCACAGTGCCTGGCATGCCCCTCCAGGATAGCGGTTAGCACAGCACGGTCTCCCCATGAGACTGCAGGCTCTGGAGAGCAGGCGCTGGGTATACTTTTCTCTGCCCCACCCAGGGCCCTGCTTCCCAAAGGAGCGATGGCACAACAGCGAGCCTCAGCCAGGCTGGTGGGCCAGGACGAGTGCCAGGGGCTCTCCGGCACGGCCCGTGTGCTCCCCGCTGGGGCCTGGCGGGCGGGCCACCCTCCTGGCTGCAAATCCCACTGGACTCATTAGCTTCCACCCACACAGCGGGCCTCACAGTGCCCCACACTCCATGGCAACCGTGAGCTGCTGGTCCCTGAGCACCGGAGCTTGGGAGTGCAGACTGCTCAGACTAAAGACGCAGCTCATAGCCCAGGCTGCCTCTGGTCAGCGGGAAGGGCTGAGCAACCTCACGGAGCCAGGCCAGCCTTATCAGATCTGACCTGGATGTGGTGTGCAGAGGGCATACCTGGGCCCTCGGAGGCCCACTGACAGTTCCCAAAGATAAGGCAAGGTGGGGAGGGCAAAGGTCATTCAAATGACCAGAATGACCACTGGGGAGCCAGGGCCAACTGCTGAGGGGATCCCTTAATCCAGAGCTTCCCTTGGCTGTAAATCCTGGCTGCCCCCAGCTCAGTCCTGGGTCCTGAGCAAAAGGCTGAGAATACCAAGCAAACTGCTTCCCCTGACAAGCCTGTACGGGGCCAGTCTTGAGGAGCTGAGCCAAGGGGCTGGTCCGGGCTGCTGAAAGCACCTCCCTGAAAACACTGTCCCCAGGAAAGGACAGAACCCCAGCTCTGGTGCAGAGGGGTCAGATCCGAGTAGAACAACAGGGACCTCTAGAGGAAAGTTAAGGGTGGCTAGTGATCACGAGAAATGACTCGACAAGTCCCTGAAGTTTTATCAGGGATCTTCCCTGCCTGCCCTGGAGGGCTTGGTGTGTGGCCTACAATGTAGTGGGGAGGTGGGTCGGGCTGGAGGCAGTTTTGGAACCAGCAGCCTTGGGCTCTCAACCTAGCACTGCCACGTATCAACGGCCTGACTTGGGGCAAATGACCCAGCCCCTCAATGCCTCGGCTTCCTCCTCCGATCAGATCATGTAAGACTCTGGCACACAGTTGCTCATCAAACCACAGGGGTCCCTTCCACCTCCCAGGCCTGCCTGTGGGGCATGAAGTCTACGTCTTGGCCACAGGACTGTCCAGGCTGCGAGCGACTGATCTAGGGAGTAGGAACTCTGCCGTCCTGAGGGGGTACAGGCAGGGGGGCTGTGTGTCCTTCCACGTGGCATGCCAAACACCTGGGTTCAGGGGCCCAGAGAGGCTCTGCCCTGACTGGGGGCAGCCCAAACTGCGGAGGGTGGGGTGGGGGTGGGGGCAGGCCACTCACTCTTTTCGTTGGTCAGCCAGAGAACTGCCCCGGGTCAGCGCAAACATGTCAAACTCGCCTTCCAGTTGGCCAGAGGCCTCCAGAGACTGCAGGCCAGCCCTCACGCTGCTGGAGCCCAAGTCTGCAGGGACAGAAAGGCACATGAAGGGCCCGCCACCTGTTCCTGCACACTGGGCAGGGGCTGAGCTGCCAGGCCCAGGGATGATTCTGGAGAAGCAGCGGGGTGGGGGGTGGGGACAGTGCGGGTGTAGGAGGGGGCAGGCCACCTGTTGGCTGAGGGACTGTGGGCACGTGACCTGCTCTCCCTGAGGCGGAGACCCCGGCCCCCTCCCAGGGCAGCTGTGCGGAGAGCAGGTAAAACGCGGCCCAGTGCATCTGGCGCAGTACATGGCTGAGCAGCGGGCGAGAGATGAGACGGGTGGCTGAGTTTTCAAACAGCCTAGCAGCAGTGGTTCTGGGCTCTTGACTACTTCCTAGGGCTTGGCACAAGCACGCAGCCAGCTGTAGGGACACTAATCGCAGCGATGGCAATGACGACTGCTGGCGTGCTGGGGGCGCGCACCCCGGGCCCGGCGCCAGTCCAAGCCCCCTTCGTGCGTGCGCTTACCTAGTCCCCATGGCAACCCTGCCGGTTACAGGGCAGCGAGGGGGGCACAGGGCGTTCAAGTGACCAGCCCCAGCTCGCTCGGATGGCTCAGGTCACAGAGAATTCGGTGTTGAGGGGCGACCACAGAGCACTGGGCTTCTGAGGTGTGAGGGCGCTCGGGGGTTGGCGGGCTGGGAGGGAGAGCTCCATGTGTTCGGTCCTGGGCACCCAACCTTGCAGTGGGGGTCCAGCCCAGCGAGGTGAGGTCTGGGCCGACCTTCTGCTGCTGGCACTCCAGCTCCAACAGTCTAACAGGAGGGCACCCCCAAACTGCAGGGGTGCCCACCATAATGTGCCCTCGGCCAGAACCCCCGCACGGCACTTACTCATTCCCGCCAGCTGGGATGAGAGGCTGCCGGTGGCCACCTGGTCAGGGCCCATGTCGATCAGGTCAGCTGCCGCCTCGACCTCTTGTGGGGCCTGGGGAGAAGGGAGATGCCACTGTTGCTCGAGGATGTGTCAGGAGGGCCCCAGCAGCTAGGACTGGGAATCAGCCCCACGGCTGCCTCTAGCTCAGCAGCACCCCCTGGGAGGCTGGGAAGACCCCTGGGGCATCAGCTGGTGGCAGAGCCTTAGTTACCTTAAAGGAACAGTGACAGAAAAAGTGAGAAGGGGACTTCTCTCTGGGCCTGGATAAGAAGGCACATCCTATGCAGGATGTCCAGGGAGGGAGGTGAGCACAGCCCTCCGCCTCCTTCCCATCAACACGGGCATGATCTGGTCCCAGAAAAGCGCCTTTACCTTGCCGGTCTGGCCTGTTCGGAACCGTTCAAACCTACGAAGACAGAAACAAGCCGGGTCAGAGAGACAGAGAGGCCCCTCAGCACAGCCCAGCTCTTCACGCTGCTGGCAACCAAATCCACGGCAGTGAGTCACAATTAGGGGGACCGATCCAATTTATGCCTGCTGTCCCCGGGGAACTGTTAACAGTACCCCTCGTTCACTTGCCAGACTGTCGCAATTTGAATGATCAATCATCTGGCCACTTGTCATGACCAGCAGTAAGCGAACCACCAGAAATAGGCTAGAACAGAGGAAAATGGGGATGTACAGTACATGGCAAAGCTAAGTGCTGTTTTATCAAACGTGTTCGGTGATTCGCTTACACACGTGTACCTGTGTCACTGGCTCTCCGAAGTGGTGTCAGAAGACACGCATCTCTTATGTTCCTTCCTGGAGCCCCTGGGACTAGCCTCCGGGCTGCCGAGGTGGCTGCAGAAGGCCGTGGTCTGCTGAGGCCTGGCCCTGTCACTTGCTGAGTGACCGTGGGTACGTCCCTTCTGAACCTCAGCCTCGTCTATTACAAGGGGACAGCGGAACCTCCCGCCCACGTGTGAGGACCCAGCGAAGACCCTGACTACAGGCAGGACCGTGAACTAGGAGGCAGCAGGCATATGTCAGGCCTGACACCTGTGGGTGTCAAGGGGTCCTAGTCATCCCCAGATTGGGCCCTTGGGCCACCTCAGCCTACACCTCAAAATGGCAGAAAGCGACTCTTCTATTCCACTGGGCCAGGGAGCAGGAAGGGCTGGGCAGACATGGCCCACAGCAGGCCACCACCCCCCTACTCTCCACTGACTCAGAATCACTCGGGGTCTGTTGCTGCAGAAAGACAGGAAGTGAACGAAGGCTGGAGAAGGCTGGATAACTGTGTCTTGACTCAGACATCCCGGGTTGCTAAGTGCTTACAGGTATCACTGCGCAGACTCTCTGTCACCCCACGGGGCAGATACAGAGAGCCTGGCACCCCTTCTCCCTTCTTTGGTAATAGCACCCGAGTGCCGTCTGGGGAGCAGCTCTTCCCCCATTTCCTAGGGTCCTGGTACAACCACCTGCAAGGGGCCCTCTTCCCTTCGCCAGCAGGTGGGTACAACAAAGCTGAGCAAATCCATTTCTCCTGGGGAGCTGACTCTTGAACAGAATGACAGAAAGTGGGCAAGTGTCTGGGGCCCATTTCCTGATGGCCACACCCTAGGAACATGGTCCGTGACTTTCTGCCTTGAGACCTTCGAGCCAGCCTGTGATCTCTCTTTTCTGCTCTGCTGGCGGGACTCGCTGTTTGACTCTTCTTTGGATTCTGAAAGCTCTCCTGTCCATAAAGGCTTTTCTTCTCATGAACTCTTTTCCTGCTTAACTGAGTTCGTGTAGCGTGCAAAAAGCCAAAGTCAAGTAAGTAGAGGGCCCACAGCAAGGACAGAGCAGCCCGCCCGCAGGGATGCGGCGGCAGGGCACACTCTGGCCTGGAGAGCAGTGGTGGCAGGCTGCGTGGAGCTCATGCCCACCGGGGAGGGAGAAAGCTGACGGCACACGTGTCTGAGAGGGCGGTGGGAGGAGGCCAGATGGTGCGGACAGGCAGGCAGGGGAGGGAGCGGGCTGGGGCACAGCTGGCCAGAGGCCAGGGAGGCGGCGGGTTACCGTTCGTGGCGCAGGAACACGTTGTTGAGGTTGTCATTGACGATGAGCAGCTCCTCGGTGAGCTGTTCATTGGCGATTCGGGGGATGAGTTCTAGGACCCGCTGCTGCATGGCTCGGCACGTCCGGTTGAGCTCCTGCGGAGGGAGGGGGAGAGATGGCCTCAGCCCCTGGGCCCAGAGCGCGGCCGTCGCCGGGCTCCACAAACGCGCCTCTGGATCCCGCCTCTGGTGTCCTACGCCAACAATGAGCACAGGGGAGACAAGCCACAGGCGAGACAGTGCGTGCAGACCTCCCGCTGCCGCCTTTGCTCGGGTGAAAACCAACAGTGCCAGTGGTCGGTGGGACACACCGCAACTTCTCTGGGTGACTGGGATCTTTTCGTAACCGACATAAAAACACCAAGCCGGACCTCTCCAGCTATTATGTGCAAACCCTGATTTTGAAATTTTCCATTATTTTCCCTAATTTTTTTTTAAAAAAGATTTTATTTATTTGAGAGATAGAGAGAGACACAGCATGCACGCGTGTGCGGGAGCCAGAACACAAGCGGCGGGGAGGGCAGAGGCAGAGGGAGAAGCAGATTCCTGGCGGAGCAGGGAGCCCAACACGGGGCTCGATCCCAGGACCCTGAGATTATGACCTGAGCCGAAGGCAGGCGCTTAACCGAGTGAGCCACCCAGGTGCCCCTTCCCTAATTTCTTTTTAAATACTTTTTACTTTGGAATAATTTTAGATTTGCAGAAGAGTTGCCAAGATAGTAGAGCCCTCCACTCAGCTTCTCCTGAGTTTGGCGTCTGTCAAGACGAAGACGTTAACACCGACCCCACGCTACAAACTCAACTCCAGACTTCCTTCGGTCTCGCTGTTCTCCCACTAATGTCCTTCTGCTCCAGGACCCCACACTGCACTCAGTCGCCATGTCACTGACTGACTTTTAATTGGTAAATTATATATTTAAACTCTCTTTGGGAAAGAGAAAAAAACTAAACGCCACAGCAGTGTAAGTTTTTCATTTGTAAGACGGACTCTTTCTTCAGGTACCAGCCACTAGGCCGCCGGACGCCTGGGTCGCGGTCTCAAGGCGCAAAGAGGCGGTTGGCACTTTTCTCCCACAAGCACCGTGAAGACCAGATGCTGCCCCACTACTGACTTCGGTTCTCTTTTGGACTGTTACCCCGCCTCCTAGAATTTCCTCATCTGCCTTTATTGTGGGGCAGGGCGGGCCCGAGTGACTTTCAACACCCTGCGGGCCTCCCTTCTCTTCCTCCTGTGACCAAGCACACTTGTGGCTTTGTTCCCACTTCCTCACCCCCCCTCTGCAGAGCAGAAGACCAGTGGCTGGAGCCAGTCTCCTGGGTTCGAATTCCAGCTCTGCTGCTTACCAGCCATGTGACCCCAGGCACATTACGGGCCCTCTCTTCGCCTCAGTTTGCTGATCTGGGAAACGGGGGTAATGACAGTACCTACGCCCTGTAGGGGGTGGTGAGGGTTAGGTGAATGACTGTATATCACGTGTCTACATCAGAGCCCGGTGCACGGGAAGTGCTCATCACTTGTGAGCCGTCACCGCGAAAACCAAATCACTCACACTTGGTGGCTCCTGGGCCTTGGGGTCCCCCAGCTTTCTTGGTACCGCTATGAACTGACCTCCACAGGTAGGGTAGGGCCTTCGGTGGTCCCCATCTGGGGATGGGATGGTGGGACTATCGTGTGACACGTGGAGCGAAAACCTGTGGCTCCCACCGGCCCCGGGGGCCCGAGACCAGCTGCCCTCTCCCCCCCAAGCTGGCGCTGCTCTCACACCAGCCTGCTAAGCTCCGTACTCTGCAAGGGGGAAATCAGAACAATCTTACAGACGAGGAAACTGAGAGAGAAGCTATTCTGTTCAAACCAGAAAAGGCTAGAGCCCTGAATTCCAATATGATGGAGCCCAAAGTCTCGGCCCAGTTTCAATCTCTCCCACTGTGACCACGAAGTTCCGAGTAAGCCGTGAGAACTGTAGCGTAGCTGGGGAAGAAATGTGTGTGGGCAAATGCTAGAGAAGTCACCTGGGGGCAGACGGGTGCCTGCTCACCTGTAGCAGCTCCAGGTCTGCAGGCTCTGCCTGGGTGGGCACCAGCTCCGTCAGCATCTCCGACATCACCCTCACGTTCCCACTCACCATCTCGAGCTCGCTGCGCAGCTTTGCGATCTGAAATACACCGGCGGCCCTGGTGAGCTAAGCCAGGGGTCCAGAGCCATTGTCGCTAGCGAGGAGAGCCTGGCGCCACGAGCTGGGGTGGGGTGGGGGGGCTACCCAGAGGAGCCGACCTGCCAGTATGCTCTAGGCTCTTGAGCCACAGTCCTGCGGTGGGTTGCCCCCACCACCCTGAGACCCCCTTACAGAGGTGCTACCAACCGTTACCATCTCCAAACTGGGAAGCCTGGTTCAGGGAAGGCCAAAAGCAGTGGAGCTGTGAGTAAATGCACACAGAGTACGGCTGGAGGCCGCCAGCTTTCCCTGGGTCCCAGGTGGCAGCTAACAAGGCCCTGGAGGGCAGCTCCCTGCCACGGGGACAGGGGACAATCAGCAGACCTGCTTCCCTCCCTAGGGTGACAGGATCTCACTCTGGCTCCTAGGACGGCAGGATTTTACTCCCCCGTCCTGTCCTGTGAGGATGGGATTTTGTCTTGCTCCTGGCCTGCTCCTCCTGGTCTGTTTCGGTGTCCTGGGCTCTTCCAAGCAGGAGTCCCAGGGCCACCCCCCATCTTGAGTATGACACCGAGATTTAGCACTGGTTAAAAAGACGGTAGCAGGTTGTCAGTGACCCAAGGGTTCCAAGGTCTTGGCTTGGGGAATCTGTGTAAATCAAGTTGCAGAGTCTCCACACAGGGGAGGTGGTGAAGGGTCTTATGCTGTGGGGCTCTGTGGGGAGTGAGGTCTCCTCAGGAGCACTATGGACACTGTGAATGTCCAGGAAGCAATCAGTATGGAAGTTCTAAAATTAATCGGGACAAAGAACCCTTTGCCAGGGAATACCGCATGGGTCTAGGATTAAGTGGCCTACATTTTGAGAAATGCACGTGACCCCGCTGATTCCAGAACAGGAGTGTCACTATATAAATTCACGATGCCTGTGTGAGCAGTGACCATTTACTGACCACCTACTAAGTGCCAAGCATTTAACTTTTATTGCTAATTAAACTTCACCACAGTCTTAGGAGGCAAATATCGTTATCCCAGCCTCTGCAGGTGAAGAAATGGGGGTGCAGACACTGCGGCTCACGGACACCTTCCAAACCCTGCAAAATGCTTGGTGTGTTTGGCCTATCTAATGAACGCTCTCAGTATACATAAGTGGAAAGACTACTGACCATAAGCCCAGTGTGTCCAGGTCAGATGGGACCTAATTACAATGGAGTCTGGGAGTGGTATCACTGCCTGAAAGCCTTAACATGCCCCAGGAGACAAAAGGGGAGCTGGACATTAACTCCTACTCAGTTGGGTTTTGCAAACTGAGCAGGCACTGGACATAATCAGTCTTAAACCACGCAGATGCCAGACTTCAGGCAAATTGGTTAAAATCATAACCTGGTGACATAAAATTTAGATCACAAGGTGATTCTACAATTTTTATATACCTTTAATTATCTGTCCAGTCAAGAAAACTTTTCTAGTAATACTTGTAAGTCTGGGAGGTGATTTTATAATTTGCTATAAGGTATCAAATACAGAAGTCTCTCTTCAGATAGGCTGGGGTGCGAAGGGCTGCTGGGAGGTTTGTTCATAAATCCAAATGAGATAGTGCAGATCAGCAGGTGCGCTTTGGAAGGTCAAGTTTCACTTTGTTTCCATCACACACCTGTGTCTCTCTCCCCAGTACCTTTAGCAGCTAAGCTTTCACACTTAGCCGACAGGATGGCTCTGAAGTTCTTAACACGCCTCAAAAGTGGGCACCCCAACCATGCAAGGACTCCACTTGCATCCCAACAGCCACGGCTAAAATGAGAGCGCACTAGGGTGCTGAGTGTGCAACTCTTGATCTCAGGGTTGTGAGTTCGAGCCCCGTGTTGGGTGTAGAGAGTACTTAAATAAATAAATAAATAAATAAATAAATAAATAAATAAAATGAGCACACACCCAGCGCACACTGGCCATGGCAGCAGACACCCCTTGTTGGGGCGAGCAGTCTCAGCAGGTGGCTTTACCCCCCTGTTCCCGGTGGAGGAAAATGAGGGACAGAAGCTAAGTCAGTGGCCGTTGAGTCTCTGGTGGGTAAGCCTGCAAAGCTACTCATAGAGCCCCAGACCCCGGCCCCTGGAATCTCACACTACACCTCAAACCTTCTTGGGGCTTGGTGGGAAGCATCATGGTGCAAAGGAAGGGTTTAAAAAATTTTTTTCTGTGCAGATGGTTTAGAACTGTTTTTAGCCAGAACCTCTGTTCAAATGGAATCTTATTTGAGCACATAAACAAACCCCACAAAGAAAATGGAGCTGCTGTTGTTGAGGAGGCCGCCTGCTGGGCACTCCCCACCCCCACCCCCTCGGGGGGCTGCCTGAAGGGCTCCGCGCACCACACAGCTTGGCAAACGGCTGGCCGAGGGGCAGGACAGAGCCTGCTGGGAGTCAGGCAGACCTGAGCTTGAGTCCCACCACCATCTCTGATGAGCTGTGTGTGGCTCTGGGCAAGTGAGTTTATCTAATAAGCCTCATCTTTGAAACATGGGGCTGCTACGAGGACAGTACTTTTCAGACTGAGTGGGGTGCTCCCTGACCTGCGTGGCTCTGACTCAGGCTTGTTTACCTGCTCAGGGGTGGGTGTGATGGGTGTGTCACTGGGGACTGTGGCCGGCACGGGCAGAGGGGTGGTGTGCGGGGTGGAGTCTCCTCCATGGCTGGCGTCCGTGCCCACAGAATTCGGCCCTGATGGTGCCTCCGAGCTGAACACGGTCTAGACGGTAGAAAACGGGATCGGCGAGGCCGGTAAGGGAGGAGACAGCTCCCCCACCCCCCGCTCCCCTTCCCACTGCCCCCACCGGCTGTCTCTCCTCACCCTCTGGGGCGTGTGGATGGGTGACAGCATGTCCAAGTCGGTCATCGGGAATTCCAGGCCCTTCCTCCGCAGGTCCTCGTAGACGGCCACCACCCCTGTCAAGTCGGGCGAGCTGCGGAACGCGTCAGCCCAGGACTGAGAAAGGACAAGGGGACATGGCCGGTAACCACCGCTCACAGTCCCCCCTGCGGGCCCGCCCCCTGGAGAGCAGAAATTCCCTCGCTGACTCGCTGGTCCTTGGACTACGGTGCCCAGGCCTCCCCACACGCAGAGCCCTCCAGTCAGCGGACGACCAAGACGGCCCCGCACGAGAAACCGATGGAAGCAAAGGGACACAGAGCGGCAATGGCAGGGGGCACCAGCTCTCCACCCGGCAGGAAGCTGGCCTGGAGCTCGGCCCGGCGCGCCTGCCTGCCCGTGCTCACCTGGATGAGGTGGAGCACTTTGTCGTGCACGACGGTGGGCGGGTTGTTCTTGGGTAGGATGGTCTTCACCAGCACGCCCTCCACAAAGTCCTGGCTGGCCACCAGCAGGTGGAAGCGGTGCCCGCAGTTCTTGACGCAGGTTTCTAAGACCTGGAGGCCGGGAGGTGCCCGTGAGCACTCATCCGCGGACGGGGGGTAGGGGGTAGGGGGTATCCAGGACTCCCACCCTGGCACTCCGCCTCCATCCCAGAGGACAGGCTGAGTCCAGGCGGGGCTCCCTCAAGTGAGATCCTGGAACATGGAGAAGGGGGGACAGTGCCCTGATTCGGGGGCTGGTGTGCTGGCTAGCCCCCCCCCTCGCCCCCATGGGGTAGCCTCGGTGCCTAGAGAAGCCTGCCCGGATGCTGTTTCCGAGGGGGCCACAGCCTAGAGGGAAGGTAGCTCTCTGAGTGGAAATCAGAGCGAACTTTCATAATCCTATGGTGACCCTGCAGCCCCAGAAAAAAAGGTGCTGAGCTTCCTTCCCCATTTCTGCTCCCACTTCCCGGCAGGAGGTGCCTTGCTCTTCCGGGGAGCTGGATTCACCGGATGTAAGCCCTGCTCTCGTCTCCACCCCAGCCAAGCCCCTCCGGCAGCCAGGATGCCCACTCTCGCCTGGCTTGTCCTCAGCCGCTGGCATTTGCTTTATGTTCATTTCTCAGGGCACCAAGTGCCAGTCAGCAGCACCCAGTGTGGCCTGCCAGACGTTCTGCCCCACCAACGCCTGGCTTCACTGTGCTTCTGTGTCACCTGGCAGGTCCTCCGGCGCAAGCTCTCCGTATCTGGTTCTGGAGGGATGTGGGCCTCAGTGCGTCTGCTCCCCATGCCCGCGGGCTGGAGAGAATTTTTCCAAATGGCCTCTCTTGCCGCTCCGTATCTGCCGGCACTGTAGACAGGACGGCGCTCTGCCCACAGACCTTTCCTTCCCAGCCCTTGGAAGAGGAGCCGCAGGGTGGCTGGAGTCCTGCTGGGCCTGGGGGACGTGTGGTTCTACCATGGATGGACAGATGGATGGATGGGGCACTCACCGTGAGAGCCAGCATCACCTCGTGGAAGTTCTTATTCCCTACGATTCTCTTCTTCACCGCTCGGAAGGCATCTTTGGGACTGGGCAGAAGGACAAAAGGAAGGATGGCCTGAGGAATGGAACCTTCTTATCCCATATGCGGGGCTGCCTACCTGAGATCAGGAGGCACTGGAACACAGGGATGGCTTTTACTTATCTGTCTTCCCTGTGTCCTGTTTCCTGTTGAACACACGAGTTCTAATCACAACACAAACTGCTTGCACCAAAGTCCTCAGTAGATCATAAATACTTGGCAGAGATTCTCTGTGTGGACCATGGGCGCCCTGCACCAGAATCCCCTTGGGGGGAAGTGTGAGGATGTGTTAAAAATGCAAAACCCTGGGCTCCCACCCTAGACCTCTGAAGCAAGCTCTCAGGGAGGCCCCCAGGGGTGCCCTGTACATACTGAGGTTTAAGGACCAATCAGCTGCCAACATAGAGTCCCAACGCCCCATCCTGGCCACTTCCTCTCTCCACCCATCCTTCTACTTGGCTAAGTAGCCACACGTGCCGGCACCGTGCGGGGCGACGCGTTCCCGGGAGACCCACATCAACGTGGGAAAGAAGAGGGGCCCGCAGTCGGAGTGAGTGGGGGTCGGGGAGGGCGGCTCAGGGCAGTCCTCTCTGAGGAGGTGGTATCACAGCTGGGTGTGAAGGACGAGATGGAGCCAGCTGCCGGGAGCAGGGGAAGGGGTTCAGGCAGAGCAGGGAGGGACTGACTGGAGGCCGTGCGGGGAGGCAAAGGGAGAGGGAGAGGCTGAAGAGGCCCAGTGGTCACGGTAGGGAGGGTGGATACACCTAAGCGCAGGGGGAGCCCTGAAGGCCCTGGTGGCCACCTGCTCCCCCTGCCCCACCTGCTGCCCGTACCGCCTTGCCCCTGCATCCTGCCCTTCAGCACTGTACAGGTGAAATCAATGTTGCCCCGACGGCTCTGTCCTAAAAGCCTTTGTGGCCCCCGACTTCCACGTCTACCTGGTGAAGGCACAGATAAAATCTGCCTTACGCACGACTCTTTCCCAGTCCCCCATTTCCCTGGTGTGCACCCACACGGCACCCGCACGGCACCCATCCGGGGCTGCCTGGCTAAAGAAGCCGCCTCCCGGAGGGCGGGGATGGGATCCCCTTTTGACACTCTGCCTCCCCAGAGGAGCACTCTCCACCCACAGGAGCATAAGCAACATTTCCTAGGCTGGTCAGTGGCCCCTGGGGCCTGTCCTGCTGTCTGCCAGGCATCTGTCTGTTCGGTGCTGACCCCCTCAAGGGGCAGGTGAGGAAAGGCAGGGACCCTGATACGGGTCCCCCAACATGAGTGAAGGCGGCAGGCAAGGTGGGGAGGCGCCATGGAGGCCTATCAAGGCTGTGACAGACAGGACATGCATTGCGGTCCCTGACGGGTGGGCCCCTGTCCCGGAAGTGTGAGCGCAGTTTGCAACCCAATGCCCTAGGGCCCTTCCTCACCCTCAGGACTCCTCGCCTGTGGCCACTTCAGCTCCCTAAAAGGACTTGTCCCCGCCTCTCATACCGTGGCCCAGAGAAAGGGCATGGCACTGGGAATCAGAGGTCCCGGCTTAGGTGCCCCTCTCCCCACAAAGCACTACCAGGCTGAGGGGGACCTCGCAGGCCAACTGGATTATCCCAGTGAGAGATGGAGATGGAAGTGAGGTCTGCTCTGGCTGTTGATTCTGGTTTTCCGGAACAGAGGCCTTGTCAGGCAGTCTTTCCCCGATCACCGTGGCCTTCACACCACATCCCACCCTTCCTGGGTTTTCCTGAGAAGGACAGTGACCCTGCTTTGCCTCTCTGCTCCCCTTAGGACCTTGGGCTTATTGCTGGAAGAATCTAAAAGAGCTTTATGTCTGAGGATATAGACCCAGGGAGGTATGGTGCCTTGCCCAAGGTCACACAGCTGGTCAGTGACAGCTAGTCAGAGACCAAGAGCCCAGGGCCACGATGCCTCCTCCACAGCACGTGCCCTGGTGTGACCTGCATACGGGAAATGTTCAGCAAAGGCTAATGCTGATGGGCTCTCAGTTCTGCTTTACGGTCACTGCCTTCTCAGTGTCCCCTGACCCAAATCTTAAGGAAATGAAAAGTCTATTCTTGCTCACACAGAAAGCTGGGAGTCCCCCTGCCCATTCCAGCTCACAGAATGCAGAACGGTGCTTGGAGTCCTGTCCCAGTGCCGGGGCTGCCAGCTGGCCTTGTCACAGGAGGATGTGGCCCAGGTGACATTCTAAAAGGTCCAGTTGGTCAGGCTGCCGCTGAGACACACGCATGGGCTGGCAGCCTTCTGGGGCATCTCTCTTTTGTCTAACTCATGACAGGGCTGCGTGGAATCTTGGTTCCCAAATACCTAAAATGCCACACTGTTGCCTAGGGTGGGACTCAGACAATGTCTGTAGGCTTCCTGGCACCCAGTACCACCAGTGGGGTCTACCTGAGCACCACAGCGGGGTGGGATGGGACTGCTCCGTGGCGGAGGGCAGGCTGGGTCCCCACCCCCAGCCTCCCCTGCGGGCCTCACCCTTCCTCCGTCTCGTTGATGATGTCGCAGATCTCCATGTTGAGGGCCCAGTCCTCGCTCTGCAGGGAGCCATCTGTCGCCTTCTCTGTGGAGGAGAAACCACAAGTCACAGTGTGGGGGTGCCCAGGCGGACAAACTTAGCTGTGTGCAGGCGCGTGGTGAGGGGCCAGGGCAGGAAGGAGCCAGGGAGGAGGAAGACGATGGATGCTTTCTGGGCACCCAAGAAGGAAGGGCCAGGCAGTGCGCAAACGGCTACCTACCTTGTCTTGTTTTGTCATTTAATGTGTTTTTTGGCTGTACTTTATCTCTGTATTATTTTTACTTTTTAAATTGTGTTAAAATGCACCTAATATTTGCCATCTCAACCACTTTTCCGTGTACAGTTCAGTGGCATCAAATATACTCAGTGCTGTGCAACCACGCCCACCACCCTCTTCATCTTCTAAGTCTGCAGCTCCCCTCCCCATCTCCCCCTCCCGCAGCCCTGGTAACTACCACTACACCGTCTTTTTTTTTTTTTTTTTAAGATTTATTTATCTGACAGAGCACAGCAGAGGGAGAGGGAGAAGCAGACTCCCCACTGAGCAGGGAGCCCGATGCGGGGCTCGATCCCAGGACCCCGGGATCATGACCTGAGCCGAAGACAGACGCTCAACCCATTGAGCCACCCAGGCGCCCCAGCACTACACTGTCTTTGCAATTCTGACTCCCCAGGGACCTCATTATGTGGAATCGTACAGCACATGGCCATCTGCATGTTCTTGCCAAAACACACGTGCTCGGTAAGGCGGTTCTTTTATTTTTACGTTGAGGTGAAGGTCGCATCTCATACAATTAGCCATTTGGAAGTGTACCACCCAGTGGCACTTAGTGCGCTCACAGTGCTGTACAATCATGACCTCTACCTCGGTCAGGTTGGGCCGAATCAGAATAGGATTTTTAGGCCGGAGTCAGCTACAACATTTTCGAGGCCGTCAAGGCCAGGGTCACTCCAAGTAGGCTCTAAGCCCAGTGTGGAGCCCCACGTGGGGCTTGAACTCACAACCCTGAGATCAGACCTGAGCTGAGATCAAGACTCAGATGCTTAACTGACTGAGCCACCCAGGTGCCCCATTAAATAAGCTCTACCACAGCACAAAGACAGTCTGGTCCCCCGCTTTTTGGGGCCGACATTCTACCACACAAATTACCCCTGGCTGGCATGCGCTGTACCTTAGTTAGGACTCTGGGACTAGCCAGGGCTGGTCAATGTTTTAAGGTTCAGGGAGTAAGACCCTTGGTGTCCTGACCCTGGGCGCTATCCACGTCCCCCACCATCACAGCCCTCTCCTCTGGCTCCCACACCTGGCCCTGCCGGCACAGTGTCCCTGCCAGCCATCTGTCGTATACCAACAGCACCTGCGGGACCAGGCACGTGCAGCTCGTTATCCCACGTGACTGTACAGCCATCCCACACGGTAGGCCCCCTCGCTCTGTTCACACCGACAGCTGCCCCCTCACTTGCTGCATAACTGGTGCCCAGAGGGGCTGAGGCGTCCTCTGAGCCCAGGCCCTGTGACCAGGCAGGGCCCGTCCTGTGGGACAATGCCTGGGCTGGGCTGGCGGTCAGCTCCCGAAAACTGTGGCTTCTGTGATGTCAGTTTTGAAACTGGCCTGACCTCAGTTCCGCCTTAGGTCCTGCGGACAGATGGATGCTAGGGGAGCTCAGGGCACAAGCCCGGCAGCTGGGGCGTCCAGGGAGGGACCCAGCAGCAGGGTAGGGTGCTTTTCTCCCTAGACTATGGCTGCGGGAGGGGAGGAAGAAGGCTTCCTTTAAAAGGGTTGAAAGCTGGGCTCCTTTATCCCACAGTGATGTCCTGAGTGGGGCTTCTTTTTGTCACACTCCCCACCCTTGGGGACTCACACACTTAGCCACGTGGGACGAACTAGAGAGAGCTGGACAAGTGCCCCTCTGGGCAGAGGGAGCCACGCTCCATTTTGGAGGGTCGGGGGGGGGGGGACAGTGCTAATCAAACATGCGGGACCTGCTGCTCCTTCAGAAACCACACCTCGGCGACCCCCAGTCACATGGGCCAGACTTCCGGCCACAATGTTCGGCCACCTCCAGCTCCTGACTCTCCACCCTACCTGATCCTTCTGGCCTTGCCGGCTGCCTCTGCCGGGCCTCTTCCCCGCAGACCACTGCCTCCGCTAATCCGGCCTCGCTCCTCCCCCTCCACGCCCCCTGCTGCCCCAGACTGAACTTTCTGAACCCTGGAAGTGACCCTGCTCCTCCCATGCCCCCAGTGCTCCGAAGGCTCCCCAGCCCTCGGCCCGGCCCACGTGCCCGTCCTCAGCAGCAGTGCACTCACTCCCCAGTTACAGACCAAGCGCCGTGAGCTGTTGACACGCAGACACAGCTGAATCCTCCCAACCCCGTGCGGTGTGCATCACGGCCGTCATCTAAGTGGTGAGGGAATGGGGACGCGGGGAGGTCACACAGTGGTCACCAGGGGCCAGGGAGCTCTGCCATCCCAGAAGTGTCCTCCTGCCCCCTCCTCCCGGATCCCTGGCTCCAGCAGCAGGCCTTTTGATGCTTCCTCAACTGGACCGTCCCAGTGACCCCTGAAAAGGAGGGGCACCTCGCTTCTCCTGGGGGAGGATCCTTATGGTTTTAGAAGGGATTCAGGGCATTCTGGAAAGGCAAGCGGGCTGGTAAGGGGCAGCTGGGGCATTTACAAGCCAGAGGAAGGCCGCGGCCGGGAATCGGGCGGGTGCAGGAGGACCTGGAGCACGGGAATCTGGGGACATCTGTTTTGTTTTTGTTTGGAACCACAGAAGTAACTCAGCTTTGTGATTTTGGAAAGGAAGGAGAAAAACACTGGCACTGGTCACCAGTTCCAGGAGAATGATAACCGGCTTCCTGCCCTCTGGGCTGTGGGTTGTAACCTCCCACGGTCCCGGGCAGCTACTCTGCTCTAGTCCCTAGCTCCTGAGGCAGCCAGGCCCTGCACTCCCCCGCACCCCCCGCCCCCTGGGTTCAGGCTGCAGGGCTGCTGTCTGGGGCTGGTAGTCCTGTGGCCATGGATCACGCCCCCCCCGCCGTCTGCCTGTCCTCTCCGTGTCAGGCGGGGTGCAGACACCACCTTTCCGGAAGGCTCCAGGGAGTCTGCCTGGTGCGGTGGCAGGCCCAGTGGCAGAGGCTTTGGAGTGGGATGAGTCTAGCCCCTTGTCCTAACTTGGGGACCACAGGCCCACTCAGTCTCTCTTCTCTTCTCTGTGAAACGGAGATAAGATGGCCTGCCTCACAGGCGCTGCGACTTTTCAGGTAAAGAGCAGTCCTGAGTAATTGCTAATTACCGTGACTGTGACCCAGGCTGAGAGCAGGCAAAAGTGGCCCCCAAAGACGTGCCAGCTCCAGGCCCCTGGTCCCAGCCTGCTCATTCTTGGGGGGGGGGGGTCTGAACAGCTGGAGGGCAGTGGCCTTCTCGGCTCCTTCCACTGTTTTGGAGAAGTCCACGTCTTCAGGTGCTCCACACCATGCACTCAAACCCCACTGACCATCTGCTCCCACGTCAGCCGTGGGGGCAGCAGCCTAGAGCCTTCTCCCCACCACCCTGCATGTCCAAACAGCCACCAAGTCTGTGAATTCCAGCTGGTCAACGCATCTCTGAGTTGTCCCCAGTTCTGTCATCACTGTGGCAGCTCTCAGTCAGGCCCTGTCACCTCCTGCGGGCCTGGATGTCATCTCCACACTCTTCTCTTCAAACATAAATCCAACTAGTACTTTCTTCCATCTAGAAATTGTCCCTTCACCCCCTCAACTGCCTGAGGGTCAAAAACCTGAACTCTGCAGGGCGGAGAGGGACATGTGGGACTGACCTCGGCCACAGCTGGCTGTCCTCCCCTCCCTCTGGGGCCTTGTTCTTGCGTGCCTCTGGGCTCCTGCCCGGCATGCCTTTCTTCCCTTTGCTTGGTGCCGGCATCACAGATGATGATGACAACCCCCGCCACCAGTGTACTCACCCGACAGTAAGCACCAACTATGGGACCCAGCACTTCGCACTAACCCCTCACCACACCCTTAAGAAAGAGGATGAATAAACTGAGGAGCACAGAGAGGTCCGTACCTTGCCCACAGTCACACAGCTCACACACTGCAGAGCAAGAGATTCAGACTCAGCGAGGTCTGGTTACCAAATCTATACTGTTACCACTACCTTCTGTGCCTGGATGACAACAAACAGTGTGTTCAGGGGGTACAGAAGGTAGTGGGGAGCGCATGTGCCGACTCAGAGAAGGAAATGAGCCGGCTAATCCCGGCTCATCTTTTAAGGCCCTCACCCCAGTGCCAGCTCCTCAGTGTATCTGCCAACTGGGCGGACTGTGTCACCGTGACCTGTACTGTCATCCCGCACGGTGACAGTAACATTGGGAGGAACAGTGGCAAAATGACTGGCATTCGCTGACTGTCTGCTTGTCCAAGCTGCTCAGTAGACCTCCTCCCGGGTCACCTCCCCCCACTCCGTCCCGACCACGGAGGGGGGCAGCTGAGGTCCACTACCCGGAAGTGCAGGAGCGTGTGGCTCTGAACCCCTGCGCCTCTCACTCTGCTCGGGCCCTTCAAGGACGTCTCTACCCAACTAGGGCAGGCCCTGAGCTCTCGGGGGCCTCTCTCTCGCACCAGGGCCTTACCTCTGCTGGGACCGAGAGTAGAGGCTCGTTCAGTGTTTGTGGAAGGCCAGCAGCCCTCAGACTGCTTTGACGCTCTGGTTCCGCTCTGAGTACCTGCCCCCCTCCCTCCCCGCCCCACCCGCCCCGATGCCACACACTGTTTCTCAGATTGTAAGCTCCCCTCCCCCTTTCCACTTTGAACCCCTCTCATATTGGGGTGGCTCTTACAAACAATGACCTGCCAGAGCTCAGGTGCCAGTTTTTTTTCTTTTCATTCTCCATGGTGTCTGAGGTTCAACGAAATGTGGCTTGTAAGCAGTGAGGGATGGCCTTAAAGGCCAGTGACAACCTGCAGACCTGGTCCCACCCTAGGCTCCGACCCGGTCTAGGGCAGGTTCCAGACCCAGGGCAGAGAGATGCAAATAGGAGTCA